GGCTAGTGGTGATGAATCGTAGATTTACTGTTATGAACCAGAAAATAAATGTCAGTCGGCTGTGTTCCAAGTTGAAGAAAAGCCAACAAAAGTCATCCGTTCTCGAAGTGTTTCGAAAAAGATGGTCGCGACATTTGTGTCAAAAGCGGATCATATTGCAACAATTCCTCTTAATGAGCAAAGAACTGTTACTGCGGATTGGTATACCACCATTTGTTTGCCAAAAGTCATCACCGAGCTTCGAAAAATCAACCCCGAAAGAAGAATCATCCTACACCAAGGCAATGCAAGCTCGCACACAGCCCAAAAAACAAGGCAGTATTTAACGGAAGAAAACGTGTAATTATTGGACCATCCTCCATATAGTCCCAATCTAAGTCCTAACGATTTCTTTACTTTCCCGAAAATGAAAAACAGACTGCGTGGTCAAAGGTTCCAGTCACCAGAAGAAGCAGTTGACGCATTCAAAAATGCCGTTTTGGATCTGCCAGCAAACGAGTGGAATAAATGCTTCGAAAATCTTCGTGGAGAATACTTCGAAAAACAAAGTCATTTAAAACTACCTACCGTCCTGTTTTATTTCGATATGGAAAACTTAAAAGTCATCCCTCGTACCGCATCACCGGACAAGTAATAAGGAAACTGAAACTCGTCTGTTTTTAATTAAGTATTTAATTCAAATGTCAGGTGATGAAGCTTCTGGTCAGGGGTAAAAGAGAAAAATGTTCACAATCTTATAAACACGAATGGGAAAATGAGTTTCCATTGTCTTCCACACTCTGATTGTTGGGTCGTATTCGACTACCTCTAAATGTCTTCCACAATTTGTAACATTTCAGGTTGAGCAGGTCTTCAAGCGTGACGTCCTCATTGTCCATTTAAATTCTGTGTCACGAAGTCTAATAAATAAATTTACAAACATCCGTGGGGCCGGATGATTTCTTAAAGGAAACCTTTCCACGTACAATCTGCATTCTGCCGCTTCATTTTGTTGGTACTCTCCGGATGTCAGTATTATGTGCACTAGCTCATTGTTTACGTAAACAAGAGCCATTTCTTTGCACAAAGTAATCAGACAAATGAAAGTATACGCACTATTGAAAGACTGATACAACTGATCGAACCAAAGACTCGTACTGAAAACCTTACAATAACATAGTTTGCCAAAATTTAAATAAATGATAATAGTAGTAAACAAAAAACGCTAAATTTTACACGCAGTGGTCGAGAATATCAAAAAATCTTTATAATAACATTATTTTTTAAATTTTCCAATCTCTTGCTATTTCATTTAACTTTTATATAGGTATTTTTTGGTATATCAGTTCCTTCTAACAAGTTCTACAAGCAGTTAAAATAAATTACTCAACTGACTTATAACATAATAGACATGTCTCGATTTCGAAATTTTTTTCTGGACTCCGTCAATGATTGGTGAATTTAGAAGCATTGCTGTACTGTTTTTTCAGTTTTGACTTGAAAGAATATTATTGTAGAATCATAATTTTCCGATACAAAAAAGATATTGTTATCGATTTCGTCGAAATCGAGAACTTTTTTTGAGCTAATGCGTTTCAATGAATAGACACCTTGTATCTCTCGGAAAACAGTTGCCAATCACACATCAATTTTGACATATTCAAGCAGAATTCTCAACATCACTTGACATTTATGTGTTTTCTTGAATATGAACATTGTGATGAACTATTTCTACTGTACAAGGAAACAGATACGCAAAAATATGTAAGTCGATTAACATGTTTTATTTTGTCTTATTTTCACTGTTGAAGGAAAATTTGGATATACAGGGTGTCCCGAAAAAAGTTTGCAATATTCTACCAGCGGTTTCTAGAGCTTAAAATAGGAAGAAAAGTTTATATAAACGTAGGTCGACAAACGTCCCCTAAGGGCGCTACGGTCTTTTAAAGGGGCTCCCCTGAAGATGGTTTTTCCTTAATATTTCCGAAACGTGTTGAGATAGACATAAAATTTGGTATTCAAGCCTAGTTTTTTATGCTGGATTCAAAAATATTAACAATTTTAGACAGTTTTGTTTGGAAGCGTATGTAACAGGGACGGACTCAGGTTATTTTAGCCCCAACATTTTTGTGTGATTCCATTTTTGAAATTAAATTTTAGAATTTGAAAATTTAGGGTTTTCTACATAAAAAAGGTACTCTCATTGAATATCGATAAATTGTGCCATTTTTGAATAAAATCAAACTAAAAAATTTGTCACGTGATAGGAAATGTACTGCGAATTTAAATGAATTTTTGAATAATTAGCCATGGCAACGAAAAAACTAATTTAATAATTGGTAAATATTACATATTATTGCAACATAGCTAACATTTAGGCAAAAACAAAAGAAATAAATTTTTTTCTACGAACGAAATTGAAATTTGTTTAAAAAAGGAGACATACAGTTGGATATACTTAAAACTGCTTTACAATAAGTGTTCAAATAAATTCCCATTTTGTTGTATACAGAGTCTCGCTCGACGAACCAATGATTGCGTAGCCCGAAAAGTGGAAAACCTTTTTCTTCTTATTTCATTTGCAGCCTGATGGATTCTTTGAAGTAAATCTTCTTGAGTATTTACTTCAGTCGAGTAAACTAGGTCTTTTAATGACCCCCAAAAATACAAATCCAATGGATTTAGGTCAGGTGAACGTGGCGGCCACGCTATAGGACCTCCTCGGCCTAACCACCTGTCTGGAAAATTGACATTCAACCAATTTCGAACATTGCGTCCAAAATGTACAGGGGCGCCATCATGTTGAAAAAACATATTTTCTTGAAACTGCTGGCGCACATCCATTGGTATTATATCCAAGAGCTCATTCTGAAGAAAGTTCAGATACACCTCTGAATTAAGACGATTGGGAAGTACAATAGGCCCAATTACTTGATCCCAAATTACTCCTGCCAATAAGTTCAATGAAAAATCTATGTTGGAAGTTTGTACGGCGAACAACTTTTCATCTGACCTGTGATGCATGTTATGGAAATTAAAGCACTATTCCTAGTAAATATTGACTCATACGACCATAATATTCTAGGAATAGTGTTTTCATTTGCTTATATCCACTGGCTCGATTTGTGGTAAAAAATCCGCCTCCGTTACATGCTGCACCCGTTTAAAATGATAAGGATGTAATCCTTGCATTCTTGTCATTCTTCCTATCTAAAATTATTATTTTTAGGATAACTATCAAATAGGTATTCATACATTTTTCTTACTATTGATCGAGGTATATCCATAATTTCTGAAACATTTCGTATGCGGATTATTTTCAAACATATTTAAAGCAATATCCATACGATGGTTTCCCAGTGGCCTTCCTGAGCCCTGCATGCGCTGAAAACTCCCATGGTTTGACAAATTCCGGTGAATATCAGTAAACATTCGACGTCCAGGTACTATGCGATTGGGAAATCTTATTCTCTTACGGCTGCCAATGAACTGCCATTGCAAAACCCGTACACAAAATGCATGTCAGTCAGTTGTCTGTCTGTAAATCTTGGCATTTTAAATCGATTTAATAAAAATTTTGATTTTAATCTAGTAATTTACACTGCTAACAATGTCAGCTTAACGTCAAAATAAGTCATAACAAATCAAAACAACTTTTGTTTGTAGTCATGGCTAACTATTTACAATCAACAATTCATTTAAATTCGCAGTACATTTCCTATCATGTAACAAATTCTTTAGTTTGATTTTATTCAAAAATGGCACAATTTCTCATATTATAATAAAAATAGAATCACACAAAAATTTTGGGGCTAAAATAACCTGAGTCCGTCCCAGTTACATACGCTTCCAAACAAAACTGTCTAAAATTGTTAATATTTTTAACACGTTTCGGAAATATTAAGGAAAAATCATCTTTAAAAGACCGTAGCGCCCTTAGGGGACGTTTGTCGACCTATGTTTATATAAACTTTTCTTCCTACTTTAAGCTCTAGAAACCGCTGGTAGAATATTGCACACTTTTTTCGGGACACCCTGTATATTTCTACTAACTAGGTTACAAACTGTGCTTAGTAGTAGGGAGGAAGCTTTTCCGTATAAACTATATACTTTAGGAAAGGTGGAATCTAATAATATACTTTGTTAGTTTTTCTGGAGAAATTGAAATTGACTGTAAACAAAATTTTATCAAAATGATACTCGGGGATTATAGTATGTATATAGTATGTACAATTCATGTTTGGCTCTCACAAAAGGCTGTTGCAAAGTTCCAAATTTCATACATAAAAAGGTATTTTGATCCAGTAAAAATAGTACGTGCGCATACACATTTTTGCATCATTTTCTGATTATACACGAAAAAGTACTTGCTTTCAGTGAAAATAAAATTTTTATGATAAACGTAATAAATACACATGAAATTGGCACAGTGAAGCGTGCAGTTTTAATTTTTTCTTGTTTCTCTCCCATACAATATAATGTTCAATATTTGAGTAACATATTTTACCTGCCAGCCAGCCCTATGTTCCCTCATCCAGAAAATTATCCGAGCGTCATCTAGGTCACAGTTGATTCTCGACATACTATTTATACTTTGAAATAGTTAAGACTCCCGGATTCTGTCATTATTTTCATCGGTTCTTGAAGATGAAGGTTTTCCGAAATCGACTATCTCCGTCCTGAAAATGCCTTGAACCACCGAAAAACCTGGCTTCTTGACAAAACACTATATCCGTAGACCTGTTCAAACTTGTACTGAAGGCGGATCACATGTTCCCCTGACTCCCCTCCCAGCTCGGCGCCTCCAGTATTGCCAGATCTAACGCCACGTTGCCGGTCTCGTCACTTAATTTACAGACCTCGTATCATAGATGGCGCTGTAGACAATTATATGGGTAGGCGGATCTATCTCATTTCATCTCGGAGAATTTTTGGGGCACGCGAATGTAGCATTAGGTTTTCTGTTTTCTAGTAGAATTCCTTAATAACGGTTTAATTGAATTTCCATATTTTTGTTTCAGAGACATTATTAACAAAAAGCATAGTTGGGAGTTTAGGGCCCGAGCTAGCGAGGTGTATGACTTCGCAGCGACGAGCACCTACCTGTTATAGGTAAGTCATATTAGGTTCTGACTGTTAATTTTAGTAACACAATATCACAGGTCTACCGGGATCTTTCTGTGCTAATTCATATAACTTAGAGATCTTTCGGACATCAGATTTTGGCATGAGAATTTGTGGAAAAAGTACATTTTAAATTTTTCTAAAATGCATAGATCCTTATCTTGACGATAGATGCGGTCATTTTCTGGTGTGACACAAAGGTCTGATTTTGGGATTTGAAAATAATCGGATTTGAACGTTTACTAGTTAGTCGATCACATTTTTTCTTCCAAAAATTATATTGAGGATTTTTATCAATTGTCCTACAATGAAACTTTGGAAGTATATAAAATGTATGTTTTCTTTGGGAGCAAACGAATTTATATAATGTTATGTTCCTCAGTACCCATACGACACGATAAGCAAATCTTACTGTAATTCAGCATTTTCGTTTTCTCACATTGAAGGTAAAGGTTGGGGATAATCGAGAAAACTAGTCGATTGTGCTAGTTAGGTTTTGAGTCATATCTAAGGAGAATGTCAGATCAGTAGTTCATGTGGTCCGTACCATCAGCGTCGACAGTGTCGTTGGATTTCTACGTAATCTTCAAACAGTAAACACTGATCGTGTGACATTTGCCATAGGATATAAACAAACATTGCTGATCAACTTTTCGCGACAATAGATGTCAAAACGTGATATTGTGATGATAGGTTACTTTACTATCAAGTCTGTCTTTTTCCCATCTACTTTTGACAGCGTCGCTTAGCGGTAGCAGAGATTCGCTAATTGATTTGATTTTCAAGTAACTTGACATGATGAGGCTTGAATCAGCTCGTCGTGTTGCTTTGACGAAAACTCCTATGTGTTTAGAAGCAGTTTTTACAGAATGACAAAAATTCTTTTAAATTAATTCACACCGATTTTTAGTAAATCTATACAGAATGACTAGAGTTTCTTATTATGGAACTCTTGTACATCAGATCACGGAGCTCATATTTGACTATACAGATATTGAGAAATGTTGTACGAGGGATATCTTTTATGTTTTGCATATCGAGATAAAACAACACGGTAGGTAGTTTTAAATGACTTTATTGTTTGTCGAAGTATTCTCCACATCTGCATGCGCTCCAATCAATTTTCGAAGCACTTATCCCAATCGTTTGCTGGCAGATCCAAAACGGCATTTTTGAATGCGTCAACTGCTTCTTCTGGTGACTGGAACGTTTGACCACGCAGTCTGTTTTTAATTTCCGGGAAAATAATGAAATCGTTAGGACTTAGATCGGGACTATATGGAGGATGGTCCAATAATTCCACGTTTTCTTCTGTTAAATACTGCCTTGGTTTTTGGGCTGTGTGCGAGCTTGCATTGTCTTTGTGGAGGATGATTGTTCTTTCGGGGTTGATTTTTCGAAGCTCGGTGATGACTTTTGGCAAACAAATGGTGGTATACCAATCCGCAGTAACAGTTCTTTGCTCATTAAGAGGAATCGTTGCAATATGACCCGTTTTTGACACAAATGTCGCGACAGCAGACTGTCGTTTATTTTCTGGCTCATAACAGTAAATCTACGATTCATCACCACAAACAATGCTGTACATATTTTTTGAGTTTCCGGAATTGAAACGGTCAAGCGTTTTTTGACATCAATTAACCCTGGCTGCTTTCTGCTCTTCAGTCAATAGGTGGGGTATCCAACGAGAAACTAATTTTCTTACTCCTAATTCGTCATGTAAAACTTTTCGAATTGAGGTCTTTGAGATCGCGATATGTCACATGTCTATCTTCAATGATGAGTTTGCGCACAACATCGACGTTTTCTTGGGTGAATGCCGTTTTTGGTGCACCCACCCTGGAATAATAATAATAATAATAATGTCTTTATTAATCCATCCACACTGCGAGGCAAAGTTTAGCCAGCTGCCTACACTACCACTTAACCTCACCGCGAATCGTCGCTAAGACTCACCCGTCCACGTTTGAATTCTCTATACCAAAGGGAAATTGTCGACTGATGTGGCGCTTCGTTGCCGAAAACAGACAGTAACTCAACAAGGCATTCTTGTTGCGATAATTGTCTCTGAAAGTTGTAATAAACTATGGCGCGAAAATGTTCTATATGCAAAACTTAAAAGACATCCCTCGTATTTGTATCAAGTAGTACAATAAAAGAATCAAGTCAAGTTTCTAAAAATATCAAGATGATGAATTTCTAATGGCCAGTCGTTCCTACAATATTGTAGGACGCCTTTGTGGCCTCCTTGATTTTGATAGTTTTCTACTGTTCCGTGTCAGCGCTTCAGTTTGAGGTTATGTCAATATCTGTTTGTATCAAATTGTTAGTGTTTTTGATTGATATAACCTCAACAGGTAAAATCTAGAAATACCCCAGCCTTTCTGAAGGAGAGAAAAGACTACGTCAATCAAGAGGATCATAAATGCGTCATTTTGTTGTATTTGTTTGCAGGACCACAAAATTTTCATCTAATAGGCATCGGAAATTGCAACCATTCAGAGAAACGTGACTGCATACTTTGACGGCGACCAGATCAAAAAAACTGCAACCATTAAGGGCTACAGTGAGGAGCGAGGCTAACAACAACCACCATCACCATCGACCACCACAAATACCAACAAAAAATTACCATCATTTTTCGTCTATAAAAACAGCTTCTTCATCCGACCAACAACACCTTCAAAATGAGTGTCAACGTAAACAGAAACGTCAGCGATGTCTTCTATCGCTACAAAATGCCGCGGATCATGGCTAAGGTCGAAGGTAAGATCATTTTAACTCGCTTTACTGAAAATTTTGACATTTTCATTTACCAGCTGATCTGTTGCAACAAACACGTGATTCGTAGCCTCCCTTTCATTGGTGGAGTCGAGAACGGCAGCAGCAAGAAGTTGAAACTTCAAGTGTGACGAACGTTTTGCGTCATTCCTGTTTATAAATAGTTTAACGTTAAGCGCACCATTCGAGTTCTACGTTAGGGGCCGTTCAAGTAGTACGTAAGCAGATTTATTACAATTATTTACCCCCCCCCCCTTGTCAGCAAAAGTAAGCAAAGCTCTTACCCCCTCCCCCCATGCTTACGTAAACATTTGTCAATTAATGTATTGTTTTTTTTTTAATATTATAATTATAATGTTATAATTATAATTTGAAAAATAATAAAATAGATTTAGCATAGAGATTATATTTTAGTGATACGGTATTCAACATAGAGTAAAGGACAAAAATAGTATATCTTACTAACATAACAAACTTATTTTAAATTTTTGGTATCGTAGAGCTAAATTGACTGGAAGATTAAGAAATTGCCTTCCTTCATCCAAAACCGAGTCATCAACTGTTTGTTTTACTTTTACAGGTGGTGGAAGAAACCTATTGTCTAGGAACCTAAATAGGTCACTTCTTGGACGACAGCATTCTGTATTTCTACATTTTACAATTTGAAACAAGTATTGGCTCTCACGCACATGTTCTGAATACCATTTGATGTCTGGAAAATCAGGAAGATCTTGTTCACGTGCCCCAATATATTTTGCATTAACATTATAGACATCAATTTCCATTGAACCCCATACTTCAGCTAATACATTTCCTGCAAATTCGAAATTAGATCTTTCAAAATGTTCATCAATTGTAACGCCACGTTCATCCAAATGAGACCCAAAATGGTCATGAGGCAATATTAAGTCAGCCAGTTCTCGACTAAGAGGAGCCATTCTGCGCTCTACTCTGTTATACGCACTTCTTCCAGAAACATTGCTAGCTAAAAACAATGCATCGAGATCATGTCGCTTAAACTGTCGTATAGCAAACCCTATGACTTTTTGATAACGTGGATTTTCATCTGGCCCTCCATCAACCGCCATGATTACCACTGGTTTTACTAGTCCATGGTCAGTTTTAGCTAATGGTCGAAACTCTTCAAGTTCGAGAAGCGTCTCGAAATCCTTAGCATGAGTGTTAGCAGTAGATGAACTATGCTTTCCACTTCGAATAGCGATGTATGTAGCATAAACAGATGGTATTAATTTATGACGCTCAGCGATTACCCAATCGTGATCAGACAATTTGATTCTACGTAGTCGTGCCATAAGTTCTGTCCCATGATAATCTCATGATAAAAATGAAACAACATAAGATATATTTATATGAAAGATATTATTTATTCGACAACATTTTTAGAATTCATAATCAAACAGTTTTATTCAAAATGTCCCCCCTTGGCCTTCACACACTGCTTCAATCTCGCGGGCCACTCATCTATCACTGCACGCACAGCTTCCAAAGGAATAGCTGCCGCTGATCGGATCAAATCCGCTTTCAGGGACTCGATATTATGGTGGGCTTTGGAGCAGACCAACTGCTCTAGCAGGTCCCACAACTTGTAGTCTAAAGGATTGAGGTCCGGACTCCCTGAGGGCCAATCTTCCGCAGCAATGAACTCTGGCACATTGCTTTCCAGCCAGCGCTGCGTACTCTTAGCCTTGTGAGCGGGGGCGGAATCCTGCTGGTAGACCCAGTGTTGGTTGGCAAACAATGTACCACTTAAAGGCTTGCCGATAGGATCCAGTATGTCGCTCTGATAGTTTGCCGCTTTTGTTTTCACGCCCTGTTTACAGAAATGGAGCTGAGTGACCCCTTCGTAGGACACCCCCCACCAAACCATGACTGACGCAGGGTGGTGGCCTCTCTCAACTCTCGGAATGATCTCCGAAGCTTCCTGTGAACTCCTTGCATACACTTTGTCATTTTGTCGGTTGAATTTTTCTTCTATGGTGAAGATTTTCTCATCCGTGAACAAAATCTTTCGGAATCCCCCAGCTGCGTACCTCTCCAAGAGCTTCTTGGATCTTGTCGCCCTGATGTGTCGCAAGGTGGCCGTAAGTCGCTGGCCCGTACGTCTCCGGTAAGCCCCTAGCCCTAGGTCTTGTTTAATGATGCGCGACATCGTCCGGACAGGAATCTTCATTTCCCTGGATAGGATCTTCTGCTTCCGGAGTGGATTCCTTTGAATCCTGGCTTTTACGGCTTTGATGGCTGCTGGAGTCCTTACTTGACGAGGTCTTCCGCTTCTTGGCCTGTCATCAACAGAGGACGTCTCATTGTACCGCTGAATGGTCCTAGACACAAATTTACGCGATATTTGAAGGCCGCGTAAGAGTTCAAAAATCTGACTAGCACTGTGATTACACTTATGTAAAGCTATCACTGCAATACGGTTCTCTGCCTTGCCCCACTCCATCGTTATGCTTCGAGAGATCAATACAAACTGAGGTATATGTAATTACCCGAAAAGCGCTTAATCAACTGACACCACAATGTAAACAATCGGACAAGTATTAACAGGTCTACACTTGTTTGAAAACGAGGGACAGAACTTATGGCATGACTACGTATATTCAATGTGCATTAGAAGAGGTGCTTGCTTATTTGCCGCAGTTACGCCAATAGGGACTCCAGCTTTATCATCTTGAGTTATGAAAAATACTTGATCTGGTCCAAGTATGGATGGTATGTTCTCTAAATAATGGATTGATGTTTCAGCGAACTTGCTAAGTGGCTCTTGTGGTGATAGTTTGAGCTCGAATGAGCTTAACAGGGACTGTCGATACATGTCTTCGTCCCTCTCCAGAATTAGATTTTCTGGGAATCAAACCAAGATATGTCCCACTGCGACTAATGTCAAATCCTATGTTACGTAATTCTTGTGTGAGTTTATCAAGAGTTTTTACGCTGCGAATTGATTCCGTTCGTCTTCTATCATCTGCTACACTCCCAAATAAAGCTATATCCGCGATTGTTTTCAATAGTGAATGTTGATTGCTTTCAAGATTAGAACGTCCCACTGAATCCCTCAGAGATAGTCTTTTTTTATTTCTGGATTTTCATGACAAATGTCTTCTAACTTTCTTTTCATACCATCCCTGTGTTTCTTCTGGGCAACTGCGTTTTGAACCTTCCTGTTTAAAGACTGTTTTGCTGTTTTTATTTCCTCACGCAACTTAATGATCTGTTTATCATCTTCAGCACGGCTTGGCATAGTATCTCTGGCAGAATACAAAGCATTCAGATTTTTTTCGAGTAGAGCAATCTTATTTTTCATAGCTTCCTGAGAAGGCTTTGCTCTCTGTTTATCTGTATTTTCATTAATTTCGCATTGCTGTTGTGATTCATTACCGGGTTTTATTTTATCTTCTTCCTCTTTTTTAATATTTGAAGCTGACTGTATAATTTGTGTTTTTTCTGCATGTTTACAGGTTGCCTAAAAATAAAAACTTTCTATGGCTTCTGCTAAAGATTCTCTTATTAAGCTACATAAATACAAAATATGGCAATATACGAGTATATGGTAAATACAAAACCCAATGGCTTTAAATCTAATATGTTTAAAAGAGCAATTCGTTCTGGTCACAAAATACAGTATGTATGTAACTAACATCCTGTACTTTGTGACCAAATGACGGAATCAATCATAAGAAATAAATCTGTAATACAGGGTGGTCCATAAGTCCTTTGAAATTTCAAATTTGAATAAAATTAAACGGGTGAGCGTGAGCGGCGCGGGCGAGGTGGGGGCAGTATCTTCAGTGTCTGGGAATTCAGTCGCCATGGAGTGTTTCACTGGAGCGGATCGTGCTTTTTGTGTGCGCGCGTTTTATAAAAATAATGATTCGGCAACCATTGCGCGGCGTAAATATCGAGAATACCACAATTTACACAATTTTACAAAGTGTCCAACAGCTCAAACGATTAAGAACTGGGTTGCTAAGTTCGAAGAGACTGGTTCGACGTTAGATAAACAGCGGTGGGGTCGACCAAGGACAACTCGTATTGAAGAAAAAATCAACATTGTGGCACAGTCTGTTCGTCAAAATCCTACCCAGTCTACTCGTAAGCGTTCCAGTGCACTAAACGTACCCAGAACATCTTTACAGCGGATTTTAAGGAAAGATTTATGTCTGCACGCTTACAAAATTCAGTTAGTGCAGGAATTAAAAGATAATGACGCTATTCAGAGACTAAACTTTGCGAATGAAATGTTGAATCGATTTTCTTCGCTCAATAATGTGTTGTTCTCGGACGAGGCTCACTTCCATTTAAACGGGCATGTAAATAAACAAAATTGCCGTTATTGGAGCCCCGAAAATCCAAGGCGTAAGCATCAGAAGCCCTTCCACAGCCCTAAAGTTACAGTTTGGGCTGCTATGTCAGCGCATGGCATCGTAGGCCCTTATTTTTTTGAGGACGACAGAGGTCGCGCATTAACTGTTACTTCGGAGCGGTATGTAGCAATGATAGAAGAGTTTTTGACACCAGCGTTGCAGAATTTTCCAGGCTATAATACGCAGACCTGGTTTCAACAGGATGGGGCAACTGCCCACACCTCCAACACTTCTATGCCCGTCGTCTGTCAACTTTTTCCCAGCAAAGTAATTTCTCGAAGAGGAGACATTTCCTGGCCACCACGTAGTCCAGATTTGACCCCAATGGACTTCTTTTTTATGGGACGATGTGATTTTTAAAACATAATTCCCATTCAATAAAGATGATAACAAAATATCTATATATAATTCTTCATAATATAACTAGTTTGGTTTTATTCCTTTTTTTCCAGCTCAAAGGACTTATGGGCCACCCTGTATAATGGATATTACCTCTATACTTTGAGATAGGCCATAATATTTTCTAATCAGTAAAGAGAAACTTTTTGACGATTTCTAATATTTCTAGTACTCAATAGGTACCCAAAATGATTTCGTCACTCACTGAAAAAAAATTTAGTAGATTGGATTTATTCTTAGTCGCCGCTTGCAATTCTTCTTCGATTCTCTTAGATACAATAATATCTAGTTCCTTGTCGGATTTTGCTTGTAATTTGTAATTTCGCCACACTTCGTTAACTAACTTTTGTACATTTTGTACTTTCGTGCTTGTATGAGATTTTTTAAAACTTTCAAACAATTTTTGGTATAACTTGGATTTGTCTATGTGAAACGACATCTTATTTAAACATTAAACTTTGCCTAATGGAATCAATGGTAACACAAATGTTAACTTGCTTTACTATGCTTACAATACGTCTACTCGCTACGAAACAATACACTGATAGAGGAAATTTAGACAAGTGAACACCGCTCGCTGTTCACTAAACGTATGCATTATTTGGGAATCCCCTGAAAATTCGTTTCGTTTTCAAGCAAAGACAATGTGAGGGTTGCCATTCGTGTAAAAAAGCAAATAACTACCGATGACGTAATCATCATCTAGACTCCCCTACCCCCCATGTCATGCAAAATAAGCAAAGTTAAGGCGGCTCCGACGCAGTGAGTTTCAAGCCATTTAGAAGGGTTCAGCTGCTTCGAAACTGACACTCCATTTTTCAATATTTTTAAATGAAATTCATACAGTATGTTCAGAAGATAATAATTGCTGAGGGTGCTATAGGAGCACTTTTTGATATATTGTTTTTGCACAAGTTTTATGATGGGTTGAAGTGCGCACTTTATCTGTTCAACGTCGCGATTTTTTTGAAAAGAATCTAGTGAAAAAAATGAAAAAGTAGGTCAATAGCACCCTGTGGGGTTTTGTTTTCAGCACACTGTGAAAATTTCATTCAGAAATATCAAAAAATAAAGCGACAAGAAAGGACGTATTCAGATAATCTGGTGGCCCTATTTCATATAATATCGCGTAGATAAGTCGTTCTGCAAATAGGTACTCATAATCGCTATCGCTGATACTCCTAGAGTTTAAATCCGTTTTACTTCCCACGCCAGTGGCGAGGAAGTATTGTAATCGCTGAAAATTTCTAAAATGAGATGTTATGTTTTTTTAAGTCATATGACATCTACATCACGAAAAACTATATCACTCATCATCAACTTGGAAATTACCGCTCGGATTTTTATGAAATTTCCACACGGGGTTACTAGTATGCCAAACCTTTGTCTTTGTAGTTTTTTAGTCCAGTGGCAACGGTGCTATAGGCAAAAAAGAAACAGTAACAATTGCTGAAACTCCGTTTTTGACATTACAGGGGTTCCTTATCATTGACAGAAAAAAATTGTACTGCTTAAAAAGTGGGGGTTTGGAGAAGGTGATTCTAAATGTTGCATCTTTGATATCGGTGAAACACGTTCGATTATTAAGAAGCTTCTGATCCCAGTGATTACAGGAAATTTAAGTAGCGAAAATCCGACGAATAATGTGCTCACGATTTGAAAAAATCGGTACCTGCTCTATAGGTTTGACACCAAGAGCCAACAGATCTATCTGCAACTGCCGACAGTAGGGAAGAATGAATTCGGATATCACTCCAGTCAAGTATAGGGGAATTTAGCGTGGAACTTTAAAATTATCGATTGTCAAGGAAATGTTTTTGAGAACGCTAATTTGGTAGATTTTATACCTGCATCTTCATTTGAATTTCATGACCCGTGAAATGGACCCATTATGCCCTTACCTCCAATTTGTGTTCTGCAGTTTGTGATGTTTTTCTGGATATAAGCAGGACATAATTGCCTAAGGTGCTACCAGAGCCTTTTACAAAATTTTGTCTTTGCGCAAGAATTATGGTGGGTTGAAATGCTTACTATTTGTGCTCAACTTCTTGATATTTTAAAAAGATACAATCGAAAAAGTGAATCGTTTGTTTTTAGCACTCTGCAAGAGTTTCATTTGGAAATAATAAAAAATGAAACGTAAGCTGTGAAGTGCAAATCTGTTTTTGGGCGAAATTCGTCTACTGTTTCGTCCTGCCAGTCCAAGCGACGCGACGGCGACGGTGCGTTCCGACTAAGAAAAAATGTATTCAAATTATTTGATATTTTTCTAAAACAAATTCAAGAACTCAAATTCAAATTTGTTTATTCATGTCAATAAACACAATTATGTTTACAAGGGTCATGTGGTGCATGGTTACAATTGAACGAGGGTCATAAAAATATCTTATGCCCTATATAATAAGAGGAAACAGTTAGGTAGTTTTTGCAAAGCACCAAACAGGTAGGCTTATACCTGGATTAAGTACATTTCTTGTCTACTGTAATAGGTATATGGAGGCGAAGCTGCCAGAAATGGATGTGTGCGATCAATAAACAAACCACAAGATTGAACTGCGGTGTCCAATGATTTTTGTATTGCCTTACTAGAAAACTCTGTTGGGTATATGATGGAGTTTACTAGAACTTTACAGCTTGTTGTCTGCCTTCTTCTACAAACTTCACCAAATCGAGACGCTGTGAACCTTATCCTCAGATGAAGGCGCGACAAAGTACCGTCCTGTGTCTTGGTGACTTGTTCGAGCCGCAAAATCTCGTCACTTTTTTAAGTTTTCCTAAAAATTTTCACCTAGCAACCTCCAAATCAATGTAGTTAATGTCAGGTTTTTGACTGAATTCGCCATAAAACTATTCATTTTCTTTGGAATTGCTATCCGAATTGTTAGTTATTTTTATATCAGCTTTTTTTGGTCTGAGTTTCTTTTCAAGATTCTTGCTTTTGAGTCTTTATTCCATCTTAGCGATAAGCGAGGTTGGACTAAGCTTAGAACGCAAATGTATTTAGACCACATAGACAGGCCGCTGGGTATTGTGGCTCACTACAGCTGCAGCACATCTTCCATGGTATGACTTCTTCCTGCAATAATTTATTCGCTTACCCCAATGTATTTTGCGATTATAGACTTGAACTGCTCCACACTATTGTTGACCTCATCATGAATTAAACTCACTGCATTCGTAATTAAAATGGTCGCATATTGTCCATGATCAGCCTTGACAAAAAAAGGCACTCAAGAACAACTACACCAACAAGAGTACAGCACAACAATTCAACAACACAATATCGACGAACAGTAACAAGGGGAGAAAAATACTAAATGATCACTTGCTGAGTACCAAAATAAGAAACGATTTACATTCTAGATCGCTAATCGAAATCCGACTCTGTTATTATAAAAATTTACCTTGGTATGCACCCGCAGTCATCCTTTATTCTTTTAAAGTAGCGCCGACGACCGTCTAGGGCCAGCCCACCCTCGTTTCCTTTTCATACCCCCGTTACCTCGGCAGATGGTGCTCGTGATTGTAGGAGCCCCGTTAAACGAAAAGAATTTTACCTCGCACCTTCCTCCTGAAAAAATCGATCGTTCTTCCATTCGTTCGGACTTGAGTGGTAAGTCTGTGAGCTGCCGTCTTCCAAACGCATTTATACCGCTGACAGATACCTCAATCAAGAATAGAATTGTGAAATTTTCGAATTTAATGTAACATTTCATGAAAGTTCATGAGACATAATTCCTTCCAAATTTTTAAACCGAGCTTTTTAAGACTCGAAATTCCTTTGGAAGAATATAAAAGGTGTGTTTCCTTTGGGAACATATTACCACAGTATGCTATGTTCCTCAGTACGCATACGACAAAAATATAACGCGTCAGTATTTAGATCAGGACGCTATCTATTATGATAACTGTGCTATATTCGAAATCACGAAAGATGACGATTACGTCATCATTTTAGTCTGTAGTAAAGACATACGACAGCTATTTGTGAATATATTTAATGAAGTTTCTGATATGTTAGACAGAGACAAACAGGATTTTATTGTGTAAACAAACTGTATTGCTAATTTGCATGTATCCGACAAAGATAGATGATGTTTTCATGTTGCATTATCGATCATATTTGAAAAATGAATAGTTAGGTTATGTTGAAGCAGGTTATATTGTTTTCGAATAATACTTTAGTCTTTGGTGTTCCTGTCTCAAGGCATTCTACTTATAACTGTTTTTTTTTTTCAAAACAAAAACTCCTCACTAAAATTATTATTAAGGTATCACTCAAAACCATTAAATAAAATGAAAAAAAAAATAATCAGTGAAATAACCTAACTTCGCAAAATCATAATATAAATTTGTTGTCATTATGTTTCTGACTCGTGAGTTTATCATCGACGTACGTCCATTGATTACTTCAGTACAATTTATGGTATGACCAGCGCCACCTTCAACTAAGTTAGTTAGTTAGTTGAAGGTGGCGCTGGTATGACGCAATAGTCATCTTTCGTGATTTTGACTATAGGTGGGCAGGCGCTTTGTGGAGCCGTTTATAGTCCAGACAATTTATATCATTTTTTAGCTATTCCGATATGGAAACGAGTCATTTAATTTTCGATTCGCTGCATAGTGTACATAGCAATTATTTCTATGGCCCACTGTATACGTGTCAATTTTTATATTCTACGAAGTCGTTTTTTATTTAGGTAAAGGTAACGGCATAAAGACCGTGATCGTGAACATGGCCGAGGTGGCGAAAGCCCTTGGCCGTCCTCCCACCTATCCCACCAAATACTTTGGCTGTGAGTTGGGTGCTCAGACGCAGTTCGACTTCAAGAACGAACGGTTCATCGTCAACGGGTCCCATGATGCCGCTAAACTTCAAGACCTTTTGGATGGCTTCATACGCAAGTAAGTCAATTTTCTCGTAATGTACATATTGCCCATTTCCAAGAATTTCCGCAATTACATTTATTCATTAAAAATAACGTACTGCCTCTACATTATTTCGAAGTTGAAATTTTCGATAAAAATCAGCCTTTTTTATGTTTTAGTATATACGGTGTCACTCGTATTGCCAAGACAAACCTAGAGACCTCTCATATGTCAAAATGCATCAAACCTTTCGGATCGTAGCCCGCATACATATCCACGCGCGAAAAACACAACCCTCCTTCTAAGACAGTCGGGTAGTACAATCGCGCAAAGTTGAGAATTTTGAATTTCGATATTGTATGCGATGTCGAAACTTTGACAAAATAATTATTCACAATCAAATATGTAATGTGATTATCCGCTAGAAAAAAATTCATAGTGAATCTGTGAGGTCTCCTAGTTTAACCAGTAGCACTGATTAGTTGGTAACCATAGGCTAGAAGAAGATAAAACAGTATGTTTTCATTAGGAACATAAACAGGAGTCTCGTTTTGTTCTTCAGTTCAGATACAACAATCTCAAATTTATCACTTCCGAGATCTCATTCCAATGGTCTGAGAGTCTGTATATATTTTATTAGAACTTTTTACCTATATCGGTTTCTTTAGGCTAGTTACGGCCATATTCACCATTCCCTAACAGACTGTTAAATTGTTTAACACATTGTTAAATCCATTTTTAGTATTCACCATTAACACATCATAGCAAAAAGTCTGTTAAACGGCCGTATTCACCAATTCGGCGTTTGCCAGACTGTTACTTATCAGTTGTACAAAATATAACAGTCTGTTAAAGAATAGTGGTATTCACCAAAACTTTTCGGCTTCTGATAACAAACTGTCATACAAAAATCGTAAATTTCTTTAAGTTGGTGCCTCTTGACAAAAAACGAGAGAACCACATCTAACCCCACTTTATAGCTGCTGTGTGTTGTCATGTGGTTGTCATTCACAGTGTCAGTTTTGTAATGATTGTGCATCATGGAACAGTCATAAAAAAAGATCAGCTAAATATACATCAAGAAACAATAATTTCCTTGGTTGAAAAATATCGAAGTATAATTGAAAACAAAAAGACTAACTTGGTATTTAACAAGCAGAAAAATGAGTGTAAGGAGAAGCTTTCCTGGGTATTCCATTCAAACAACTGGCCTCAGAACTGGCCAACAACTAAAAATCAAAACAACCTAAATGTGAAGACAAGGTATCATTATTCTCACAGGATTTGGACGACAAATAAATTAGCTTGTTCTCTTTTTTCGGGTCAATTTGTTAAAAACGGATAGTGGGTATCTATTCCTCGAACTATTACATTTGATAAAAAAGTTTCAATCCTTTTAGTTATATTAAATAAGAGTATATGAATTATTTATCACTAAATTGAATTACTTTTTCTGTTCCCATGAAGATACAAGTGTCGATGATAACATATAGGCAAAGTTATCAATATTGAATGTAATATACATAAAATAATTTCCATAAGAATTTTATTTTGAATGGGTAGACACTTGATAATTAATTTTTTCATGACAACATAAAAATTGAAGAAATTATTGAGTCTCTTGTTGCAGTATTTTGAGATCCAATTCGGACCTGGATCTCTTCGATTTGTTCTATTACAGGTCCAAAAAAATCGAGAGTCATTTTGTTCTAAGCACATGTTGTGCAGCACAGCAGTTGCCACAATAACCTCAAGTGATAAATACGAGGGATATCTTTTAAGTTTTGCATATAGAAACACAGTAGGCCGCGCGGATCGAACATCAGTTCATGAATCTTAACCTCACTCTTTAGTAAACTTAAATAGAAAAATGGAACTCAACCGAGAACATTTTCGCGCCATAATTTATTACAACTTTCAGAGACAATTATCGCAACAAGAATGCCTTGCTGAGTTACTGTCTGTTTTCGGAAACGGAGCGCCACCTCAGTCGACATTTTCCCGTTGGTATGGAGAATTCAAACGTGGACGGGTGAGTCTTAGCGACGATCCCAGGGAGGGTGCACCAAAAACGGCAGTCACCCAGGAAAACGTCGATGCTGTGCGCAAACTCATCATTAAAGATAGACATTATTATTATTATTATTATTATTATTATTATTATTATTATTATTATGTCTTTATTGAGTATTGTTATATACAATACAGAAATCTGCAACAGGGCGAAGTCTAGCCTAAGCTACTCTACTTAACCCTAAATAAAAGCTAACAATGAAGAAAGCCACAGATAATACATAAAATGCAATCATCAGAAGTGATCAAATACAAAATAGCATAGAAAATATGAGATAATTTGAATGAAAATAAACAAAAGCCTAAGACACAAAACCGCAAAGCAAAGAGTATATAATCAAAAACTATTGAACTATCCATTACATTGACTATTGTAATAAAATTGCCTTACCAGGACTTTAAACATCGGTACAGAACTAAACTTAAGCGCGTCATCGATACTATTGTATATAGTAACAGCATTATATGAAAAAGATTTTCTAAATAAAGATAAACGAAACTTAGGAAGAGAAAGTTTATTAGTGAGCCTCGTATTTAAATCATGCAAATCACGCCTAAAGACTAATTTTCTTTTCAGGTAAGCAGGGCTCTGTGATGATAAAATACGGTGAACTAAAATAGAAGTATAATATTTATGAGTATATTCCAGTTTTAACCATTTTAACTCATTTATTTTAGCTGAGATTCGATCAAACTTTTTGAGCCTAAAAACAAATCTACAACAGCAATTTTGTACCTTTTGAAGTCTGTATTTCAAAATAGACGTTAAGAAGGGATAATAAAGCGTGATTGCATGATTTAAAATAGGTAATACTAGGCTCTCTGAGAGCTTTTTACGTAATTTAAAATTTAAAATACCACCATTTCGATACAGTAGCCTTAAAACTAGGTAAGTCTTTTTCACTAATAGTGAGACGTACTCTTCAAATCTGAGCTTACAGTCGAAAATAACACCAAAATTCTTTGCACTATTAACTACTGAGACTGATTTTCCATTTAATGTTAAGTCGATATGCTGCATAAAAATTTCATAACATGGCGGAGAGAAGATAACAACTTGACATTTATCTGGATTGAGGTTTAAGTTGTGATTAAATGAATATTTTTGGATATTTTCTAAATCTTGATTCATATAAGCAGATGCGGTATTTATAAATCTAGGATCGAACGACAGGTATAATTGTGTCATCAGCATAACCTTGTATCTTGCAATAAGTGATAGTTTTAAAAATATCAGACGTATATATAATAAATAGCAAAGGTCCTAATATGGAGCCTTGAGGGACTCCAGAAGTCACAGGCTGGAAGTCAGAATACGAGCTATTATCAACCACCACACATTGGTAACGGCCCTGAAGGTAAGATTTGAAAAGTCGGCAGCCCAATTGATTTATACCATAATATCGTAACTTTGCAAGAAGTAAGCAGTGATCAATCGTATCAAACGCCTTCGAAAAATCAAGAAATACAAGAGCTGTAGCAAGGCCAGCGTCGAGAGATCTAATAATATCATCTGATACATTTAAAAGGAGCGAAGTTGTGCTATAGCCCCTTCTGAATCCAGACTGTGATTCAGGTATAATTTGGTTAGAAATCACAAATTCGTATAACTGTAAATAGATCACCTTCTCCAGTACTTTAGACAGAGCAGGCAGTATACTAATTGGTCTTAAGTCATTATATACAGACGGTATGCTTATTTTGGGCAAAGGTTTTATAAGAGCATATTTCCATAAACTAGGATAATAACCTCTATGGAGCAATTTATAATATGAGTTATGTGTGGGGCAGTTACAGAAATAGAGTATTGTAGCATTTTTGCACTAATTTCGTCCACACCATATGCGCTAGACGTTAGATCAAGAACCAGTTTTTTTACTTCATCCACATTAGCAAAATTAATAGAAAAAGAAATATTAGAAAATTTGGCTGAATTATAAAAATGCAGTAGCTTCAGGACAGCTATTTGATGGACTAAAGACTGAAAGAAAATGACTATTAATTTCAAAAGGTTCTTTTAGCTGTAGAGGTATATCTGTATTATGTTTTCTTTTGATATTGAGGCGATTGACTGCTTGCCAGAGATCCCTATAGTTACGACAGTTTAGTGTTGATGACAAAAATACAGCTTTTTCATGTCTCAAAGCAGAGCACACAGAATTGCGTAATTCTTTATATATAGCAAAGTCCGACAGTTTACCGGATTTTTTATACTTTTGCAAAGCTTGATCCCTTTTTTTCATCATAGCTTTGAGGTTAGGGGTAACCCACGGAGCAAAAGGTTTTGTTATGCGAGAGGTTCTAACAGGGGCATGTCTGTCAAAAAGATCGACTATTAGATTATTAAACAGCGCTACTTTATCATCGAGATTATTTATATAGAAAATATCATTCCAAGGTAAATTTACTAAGTCTGAATTGAAAGCATCATACGAAAAATTTCTGTAATCTCTGTATTTTAATATGAACGGCTTAGGACGCGATGTTCGGTGTGAGAGCTCACAGTAGATTGCTTTGTGATCAGATATGCCAAAACTATCAATAACACCCGAGTTTACAACTCTTTCATTTGCACTGGTAAAAATTAAGTCAATTATCGTTTGTGATAAGGCAGTTATTCTAGTTGGCTCTGTAATGAGTTGATGGAAATCATATGAAATAAAGCAATGATTGACTTCGTTATCATACGATTGATCGACGTTGAAATCTCCAAGAACTATAATGGGATCAAACTGGGGAGTAATAAAGGAAAGGACATTGTCCAGATAATCCAAAAAATCATTATTGCTTACTGATGGGGGCCTATAAATTACACCAATTATCAATACCTCACCATGCGTTTTTATAGACAACCAGATGTGCTCAATTCCCAGAAAACCATCAAAATCTTGAAGTATTTGCTTGCAAGCCATAGAGTTTTTAAAATAGATCCAAACTCCTCCACCCCTGGTAGAGCGATCATTTCTAAGTAAAGAGAATCCTGGAATACCAACTGCTCCACTAGAGATATCACTGTTCAACCAAGTTTCAGAAACGCACATAACATCAAAGTCAAAATCCAATACTAGATGAACAAAACAATCAAAATGAGTGAAAATAGATCTGCAATTCAAGTGGCCAATTTTTATGTTTTTATTGTTCATATTGAATTCTATCCTTAAGTTGTCCTAATTTGTTAAGGTAGCACAAACATTGAGTGCTATTAGCTGAATGGTCAGTAGGAAAATTTGTTTTAAACTTATTGTTGGAAGTCTTACAGTTAATACAACAGAGATCAGAAGAAATGCAGTCGCGCTTTTCATGATTTCCTGAACATTGAGGACAAATCGTAGCTGAACTCTTGCAATCTTTTTTATAATGCCCATAGTTATAGCACTTGAAACATTTTGCAACATTAAAATGCTCCTTTACATTACATCTTTTCCAACCTATATATAAAAATCCTTTGCCCATAACATTTTTAAAAATAGGAGTAACTTCAAGGACAACATTGATACCGTCCTTAAATTTAAAATTAGTAACCACACGAATATCAGCTTCCGTAGCATCTAATTCATTATCTGCGATGATAATTTTAGAAAGGCGGGCATCCTCGGCAGCTGATTTATCAACACTGTAGACTACAATCTTCGGACGAAGTTTTTTCGGCTCATAAACATTAAATGCATTTCCAGCTTGCCTCTTGAGACCATGTTTCAAATTTTGAAGCGACTTGACATCAGCACAGTTGACTAGCACGCCATCCCTAATGAGTCTAGTACCAGTAACATTCGCATTTAGTTGACTCGGCCTGAATTTAGACTTCAGCTCCTGCTCCAATTTTGCGTTCCCCATGTTTATGTCAGTGGGTTTAATAACCAGCACAGCTGATGGCGAGACTTTTTTTGCTGCTTGCGAGTATGTGTTTACCAACGACGAGTTCGGAAAAAAACCAACAGCCGAATTCAGTGTAGAGGAAACAGCAGGCGTTTTAGATTTCAAAATAGTATTAGAAAATTCTAGTTCACTCATACTTTTCTAGCAATTGCTTTTCTCGTGTAAGGCAATCAATTTCTTTATGCAAGAGCAGCACATCGGTACTGCTACTAGACACCTTGCCGTCTCCCAAACAATGTTTACAACGGAATTCTTCCTTTTTCATTGGCACAATCTTGGCAATTGAATCGAAACATTTTCCATGTAGAAGAGTATCACATGCACTATTAGTACACTTAACTTCACTTAGCGAACAAAATTTAGCACAGAATTTGCATTTATTGTCAGGAGGTTTTGCCGGATCGACCGGCTGGCTCGACATCTTGTTGGTACCTATTCACACATGTGACACATCGCGAGATTGAGGCGTCCTTGAAGATCTCAAAGACCTCAATTCAAAAAAATTTACATGACGAATTAGGAGTAAGAAAATTAGTTTCTCGTTGGATACCCCACCTGTTGACTGAAGAGCAGAAAGCAAGGGTTAATTGGTGTTAAAAAACGCTTGACCGTTTCAATTCCGGAAACTCGAAAAATGTGTACAGCATTGCTAGTGGTGATGAATCGTGGATTTACTGTTATGAACCAGAAAATAAACAACAGTCGGCTGTTTGGGTGTTCCAAGGTGAAGAAAAGCCAACAAAAGTCATCCGTTCTCGAAGTGTTTCGAAATAGATGGTCGCGACATTTGTGTCAAAAGCGGGTCACATTGCAACAATTCCTCTTAATGAGCAAATAACTGTTACTGCGGATTGATATACCACCACATGTTTGCCAAAAGTCATCACCAAGCTTAGAAAAATTAACCCCGAAAGAAGAATCATCCTCCACCAAGACAATGCAAGCTCGCACACAGACCAAAAAACAAGGCAGTATTTAAAGGAAGAAAACGTGGAATTATTGGAGTGGAATAAGTGCTTCGAAAATTGGTTCGAGCGCATGCAGATATGTATTAATCTTCGTGGAGAATACTTCGAAAAACAATAAAGTCATTTATAACTACCTACCGTGTTTTTTTTATTTCCATATGCAAAACTTAAAAGACATCCCCGTACTACTCCTTCCTGTTTAAGTTATCTGGATGTTTGTGAATCTCTATAGCCCCCCTGACCAGTCTATTGTGATAGCCGTTGACTGATGACAGCAACCTGCAGCTCCCAAAGTGTATCCTGTGGTCCCCATTGGGAGCTGCAGGTTGCTGTCATCAGTCAACGGCTATCACAATAGACTGACTGGTCAGGGAAGCTATCTCGAGATTCACAAACATCCAGATAACTTCAACAGGAAGGAAGAGGCCCTCAGACTCAACCCGATCTTCAGAAACGCCCGAGCAGTGCCGATCGACATCCCGAAGTCAACCGAAGCGGAACAAGCCACGTCATCTACCCTCCGGTATAAATACAACCTGCGCAAGAGAAATTGTCTGTCTACATCCAGCATCGGAAATGGAAGGACCTCTGAAGAAGCTTGCCACGCGTGGTAGCGAAACGTTAGGAAGAAATTCCAACCGACCCGCCTTTAGACCCGAATCAAGACAGCAGTTTATCAACTGGCCGCGAAAGCCTTAATCAATTTGTCATTCATAAAGTTGTTTTACATGCTGCATCGTTTAAAAATGAGCGAAATTTAAGGGTGCGTGATGCACTGAGCACATGGACTGATTTAGTTTTCACCCTCCGACTAACTGTGACCGTCTCCTCTTCGCCTTCAGATTCGTGCTGTGTCCGGAATGCGAAAACCCCGAAACGGACCTGAACGTCTCCCTGAAGCGCAACACCATCTCTCAGAGCTGCAAGGCGTGCGGCTATCACGGCCTGTTGGAGTCGAACCATAAGCTGGTGACGTTCATCCTGAAGAACCCACCCACCACAAACCCGGCCAGCCAGGGCAGTTCGCTCACCGAAGGAAAACGGTCCAAGAGGAGCAAAAGGAACGGCAGCGATGCCAACGGGGGAGCTGGCAATGGGGAACATGACGAGCACGATTCCGTTCTTGATTCTTCGGTTGCTGATAAGTCCTTGGATCGTGTAAGTACCTTTTGCTGCATGGAACGAGCTATGTGCTCCACAAACTGTATTTGAAGCCCATGGGCTGAAAAGCCCAACATTTTGCAAAAAAATGCCCTTGCTTTATCTGTTAGAACTGCATGGGTACGGTTGCTCCTAAAATTTTTCGGCTAAAAAACTTGAAAACTAGATTCTTAAAGCTTCATAATGCCTTTTTTAAGTTCTTAATGCGACTATTTTTCACCTGTCAAAAATCATCGAAAGGTTTGGAATTTTTCCTTGCTTTTTTGAGTAGGTATTAGCGAGGATTTTGGTTTATTTTTCAGAACGGTAGCGAGGACGACCAGACGGAATGGTCCGCTGACGTGTCCGAAGAGGCGGTGCGGGCGCGCATGCTCGACCTGACAGACGGCGCGAAGAACATGACTATCAGCGATGACCTTGAAAAGTCGGAGAAGGAACGCATGGACATCCTGTACAACTTAGTGAAGGCCAGAAGGGACGCCGGGCAATTGGAAAATGCACAAACGCAGAAGGAGATACTGAACGAGGCGGAACGCTTGGAGATCAAACAGAAAGTAAGCATTCGTTTGTATTTTATTTCAGGAGCGGATTTTATGAAACGTGAGGATTTGTTCGTTAGCGCCGTATTGGGGAAGGTATGCGAACTCCAAACATTTTTAGGGTAGTTGTTGTGGATACGTGATTTTGATAACGAATATGCCGAACGTCCAACAAAAATTAAGTGTTTCATAACTTCCTAAGAATTCTGAGTTGTGCACCAATATGCGGCCAATAATTGTTCTGCCAGATGTTGAAAATGCATTTGAAGAAATTATACAATTTTAACCAAATTTCAAGCTGGATTCAGGCAGAAACACTCGACTGAAGCAGCAGTACAAATCGTTTTAGAGGACTGGATGAGTTGTATTGGTAATAGGAAACATACAGTGGCAGTGTTTTTGGACATCAAAAGGGCGTTTGAAACTATTGACAGGGATACATTATTTACAAAATTGCATCTCTATGGATTTACAGGATCTGTATTCAAAATTCTACAAAACTACTTGATTGACTGAAGTCAAAAAACCAAAATTGGACCTACATTATCAAGCACAAAAAATATGTCTGTTGGTGTACCACAAGGTAGTAAACTAGGTCCACTGCTATTTATTTTAAACATTAATGACATTTGTAATATTTTAGATTGTTGTAAAATTCAGATATTTGCAGATGATACATTAATATTCATATCAGATGAAACTGTTTATTTATTTATTTAAGAATTTCGGGATGTCAAACAGAAATTCTCCAAAAAAGACAATAGTCACCGCTTTAAAAATGCTAAATTCTGTCTTGGTAAAAATCATAAATTGGCTGAATGTAAATAAACTAAAGTTGAATGCTTCTAAAACAAAATGTATTCTAATAGGGAAATACCTAAATGAAAATACTTTCACAGTTAGGATAAATGGTGAAGTAATTGAAAATGTTTAGGTATATATGTATATTGATAGTAAAGTTTGAGGATCACTATGACTACATACAGAAAAATTCATATAACATTTGATTCTCATTTTTATATCTAAAATAAAAAATCATCTTTTGTCACTATGTTTAGATCACCACATAGAATTAAATAATCATTACCACAATTATGATACAAGAGGAAATATAGGTTTTATTTTACAAAATTGCAATAGTAATATAACTAGCAAATCAATATTTCAGAATCACTAGGATTTAATAAACTAAAAAATGATATAAAGTCTACTAATTTAAAGATTTTTTAAAAGAAATTGTAGATTTTTGAAAGAATTTAATTGTAGCAATCATGCTAAATAAGTCAAAAAAAAACAATACTCTATGTTCGGAGATACTTTCCTTTTATGGAATAATAATTTATTCACAGTTTATAGTTAATATGACTAAATATTATTATTCCCTCTGATTCTCGATTATATATCGGGATTTTAGATGATACCAAGTATTTTCATCCACTGCTGACTCAAGAATTTTCGTACTATACGAGTTGTGTTTGGAGTAACAGTTTTCTGTAGGATTGTGTAAATATCTTTTGGTGTGTTTAACATCCCAGGCTCCAGTGCTGTTTTGGAATAACACCCGTTGCAGAAAAGACAATTTCTACACTCTCTAGGTTCTACATTTTTTTTCATTTCATCGCCCAGATCGCGGTATTTGCGCTTCTTTTCGGTTACCGTGGCTTCTGTATTATGGGTGTTGGGTATCGCCACATCTATGAGATAAGCATTTTTTCGTTCCTTTTACTATTATTATTATAGTGATATATTCGTTTCAAAAATTACATTGTGGATATTTATCTGTTGTCCTTCAATTATACTTTGGAAAAATATAAAATGTATGTTTTCTTTGGGAGCAAACGAATAATAACGTTATGTTCCTCAGTACGCATACAACATAGTTAATTATAGTCTAATCATATTACCATATTTTTCCGAAATAATTGTAAAGTCTGGTTTTATTGAAGCAAGTTGTTCCAGGGGGTATTTAAAACATGGGCGCATAAAACGGGTAGACCAATTTTTGTGGGAAAACTTTTTATTCGACAACAAAGAATGAGAAACCCTAGTTTTTTGAGATTCAATCAAAGTGTTGACAGGAACGAAAAAACTTTTCATATAAGATTTTTAGATATACAGTAGTGGACAAAAGTATATAGACTAATATGAATATTTAAATAAATACCTTCAGAAAACCAAATTCATACTTCATTGCTTCATAAATAAATGCGTTATTAGTAGTAAAACTAAATTCCTTGTTTTTACATTATCTGCAATGAACACAATACAAGTCTGAATATAAGCACTTTTTTATGAGGGACAAAAATATGTAGATAAATTCTTTTCAACATTAGTTTAGTACAGTTTCGTGTCAGAAGAGGATTAGTTTGTGTTCATTAAGTATTGTGGAATAAGTTGAGTGATTTTAAGACCATGCCGCGTGCTCCAGAAATTTCTTTCAATGTGAAAACTAAAATCATTGAGTTATACAAAGATGGTCAACGTCAAGTCGACATTGCCAAAAATTTGAAGCTGAAGCGTAAAGCAGTTTGGGCAATATTGAACAAATATAAACAAAAAGGTAACTTGGCAGCCTCTAAGAGAAGTAGTCGGCCTAGAAAACTAAATGCTAGATCAGTTAGATTAATAAAAGTAATTTCGTCTAAAGATCCGTTTTAAACCCCAAGACCAAAAAAAGCCGAAATCGAGACAAAAGGAATTGCCAGTGTTTCTAGGAAAACTATAAGTAGGAGATTAAATGATTTGAAGTTATTTGCACGTCGCCCGAGTAAGAAGCCGCTAATCTCGAGGAAAAACTTTAAGGACCGATTACAATTTGCACGGTTGCATCTTGATTGGAGCATCTGTGACTGGAAGAGGGTATGTTTCAGTGACGAATCCAAGTTCAATATGTTTGGATCAGATGGATATCATTAAGTTAGACGTTCTAGTGGACAAAATTGAACCCCAAGTACACTTTGCCCACTGTCAAACATGGAGGCGGGTCTGTTATAGTTTGGGGGTGCTTTTCGGGGCTTGGGATGGGACCTTTACATAGAATAGATGGCATTATGGATAAGTTTGTATACACAGACATACTAAAGCATGTCATGTTACCCTATATGGAAGACAATATGCCCCTAAGATCAGTCTTCCAGCAAGATAATGACCCGAAGCACACTTCAAATCTCGCAAAGAAATTCGTTCTGGATGAAAAAATACCAGTTCTCAAATGGCCTTCACAGTCTCCCGATATAAACCGCATTGAAAATCTATGGGAATACTTAGATAAGCAAATATGAGATAAAAATTATTCAAACAAGGATGAACTTTTTGCCGCTTTAGAGCAAAAGTGGAGACAGATTGATGAATCTTATATCAAGAAACTTCTACAATCTATGCCGAGACGATGCCAGGCAGTGATTGATAATAATGGTTATGCTACAAAATATTGACACAAATATGGTTGGTTTTCTATAATTCAATAAACTTTGCTTCTTTTTTCTATAATTGTTTTGCTTTGTCTATATATTTTTGTCCTTCATAGTTCCAGTTTTTTCAATTAATTTTTTATTGAAGTGAGTTTAATGAATTTATTTATGTATAAGCGACTATTATGCTATAACGAATTATGCATACAAGTTGGTGTATTAATAAAACAAGTTAAAAAATAAATACAGCACAATATTAATTTGTCTATATACTTTTGTCCATTACTGTATATGAGACCCACAAAATGAGATCACACGCAAAAAAGATCCGACTAATAGCAAAAATGTTATGGCCGAAAAACGAGGCAAAATGCACGTTTTAGCACTTGTTGATAATGCGACGATAATTTCACGCAACTACTTGAAATTCTTCAAATCCGTAGGAATCATACTTCTAAATAAGAACAAAATTGGATTATATTGGTCAAGTAGTCTTTTGAGAATTTCTAATTGTTTATCCCAAAACAACTATTCTCCTTCCTTCACTACTAGTTTATTGAGCAATATACAGGGTTCATTCAAAAAGCATTTAATAGCAAAATACACGTGTTTACCTTGCCTATATGAATCAAAAACCATTCCGAAAGATAAATGTTATTTTTATGCGAAAAACAAAGGTTACGTTTTTTCTTCTAAACAAGTTCAAACATTTCGTAATTGTGCAAAGCGGATGTGTCTATCATCTTTTGTTGCGAATTACTCACAAATACGAACTGTTTGAATTTGTTTATAAGAAAAAATATAACCCATCCTTTTTTGCATAAAAATAACATTTATCTTCCGGAATGGTTTGCGATTCATATCGGCAAGGTAAACTGGTGTATTTTGCTATAAAATCCCTTTGAACTAACCCTGCTTATTGCCCAATAAACTAGTAGTGATGGCCGGAAAACAGGCGTTTTGAGATAAACAATTAGAAATTCTCAAAAACTACTTGACCAGTATACCCCAATTTAGTTGTGGTTATTCAGAAGTGTGAATCCAACGAATTTGAAGAATTTCAAATATCTGCGAGAAACTATCGTCGCATTACCAAAAAGTGCCGAAACCTGCAGTTTGTCTCGGTTTTTGGCCATAACTTCTTTGATATTAGTCGGATCTTTTTACGTGTGGTCTCATTTTGTAGGTCTCATAAATACCTAAAAATCTTATATGAAAAGTTTTTTCGTTCCTGTCTACACTTTCGATTGAATCCCAAAAACTACGTTTTCTCATTCTTTGTTGTCGAATAAAAAGTTTTCCTAGAAAAAATGTTAACAACTTGCAGCAATAGAACCAGACTTTACAGATATTTCGCAAACCAGGGTATTTTCGTATAACATTATAATCAACTAGACAAAAAAATTGTTGTTTTCAAGTATCTTTTTAGATTTGTGCATTTGCATTTTTGATCTGATTGTGTTCCAGCGTTGAGCGAGCGGTATCTTTTTTGTTCTTTAATTAGAATGTATCCTGTTTATTCCAGGCGCCGCTCGTGTTGGCCGAACTGCTCTTTGACCAGAACATCCTCGCTCAAGTAAAAAAATATCGTCTTTTGATCCTGCGCTTCACGCTGAACGACAAGAAAGCGCAACGCTACCTGATGGGCGGATTTGAGCAGGTCATCGCCATGCATCGCGACAAGCTGATGAGCAAAGTCCCAGGTCTGCTGAAGGTGTTCTATGATATGGATATTTTGGGAGAGCCCTGCCTCGTTGAATGGGCGGATAAGGTAGGATTCGATTTTGCTATTTTACTACTTTTACAGCAGATTCTGTGTCGCCTCGCTCAGGGTTTATTGTGTTACATCATTCGATTTAAACCGTGGTTTAAATCGATGATTTATTTAAGTGATTTCTTTTTTGATAAATCAAACTTGTAGCTCGTGAATTTGCGTGCTAAAAATACAAGAGTAATTATTTGTAGCAAATTGAAGGTGAAATTCGAAAAATAACGCGTTTCGAAAAAACAGTGGCGTACTATTTTTATTTGAAAAAATGATGCCACTAATCCCCTGTATCTTTTTAATGTAGCCTTCGAGGAAAACATATTACATAGAAGATCCCCCTTAAAATGCGTTCCCGTGTATGATGTTTCATTTTTGGTCAGGACTTGTGAATCACCCTGTATTCGTAAAAAGGATATGGTTTGTACTAAAATAGGATTGTTATTCTAACATATATAAAGGATCGTTTCTCGTCTTTTTGTAATTGGGGCATTTATGTAAGAAATTCACCGTATTCTCGTCTTTCCTGTGAACCCATTGACTTTGTTTCCTAAGGTAAGATGCATACTTTGGGAATTTTTAAATATTTATAAAATTTATTCATCCTTAAAGTGTTCTTCCATTGCATATCCCTTCCAAAGATTACATTGAGGATACTTATCAATGGTCCTTCAATTAAATTTGGAAGCATATAAAATGTATGTTTTCTTTGGGAGCAAACGAATTAAGAAGGTTATGTTCCTCAGTACCCATACGACACGGTTAAATAATTTTTTTACAGAACTCGTATTTTCTGAATTTTCCGACGGACATCTTAAAGTCTATCAAATAATACTTCACGGTCACTCCAATCGGGCGGTCTTTTTACTTTTCAAATTGAATTGCGTGGTCGGTTGGATTGAATTGAATATTTTACATTGTACCTAACGTTTTGGATATCGAGGTGCATGAACAAACATTTTGCATGGTTGAACTATCGTGAGCCAAGCAACCGTTGTTCCGGTTCATGAAACATGTCTTTGAGCGTAACTTGTTCCAGGTTTCGAAGAAGTACGTGTCGAAAGAGATCAGCCAAGAGATCCACGATAAAGCTGCGCCGTTCATCAAGTGGCTGAAAGAGGCTGACACTGAAGAATCTGAAAGCGAGGACGAGAGCGACGATGACGTTGAAATCGAATACAATGACCGGGCACACGTTCAACTTAAGGCTACGCCTCAACAGCCGAAGCCCAAACAGGTAGGAAAACGTAGAACTTACTAAAAAATAATCAACATATTGAAAGACAAAAGAATCCTAAACAGAAAGTAATCTTGATAAATAATAATCCATTATGTATCATTTTATCGTCTTTTCTAGCCCGAGCCGGAGGACGAGGGACAGGACGACGTCGACATAGACGCCATCTGAACGCAGCGGCCGGAAGATTATATATTACACCCACATGCATTACACACATTCAACAGGGTGTCGAGCGGTATGCCTGGCTGAAGGTTGATTTTCGTTTAGGGGATTTGAGGTTATGGTCCCGGAAGTGAGGTTTTGCGTGGGGGGACAATTAGGTGGCAGATGTGTCACATTTATTTTATTTAACGGTAAGATAGAGTGGAGTCAAAACTATGCTTACATAACGTCGAAATCGGAGTGAACGATGTTTAAAATGATGTAATTATTCAACAGTCCTATTTTCATTCGGTAGGTTAAGCAGAGATAAACTTGGAACTGCGCGCAAAATACAAACGAATTAACTTTATAGATATTTCAACGACATGTTCTCCGAATTAAACATCAGGATCTTGAAGGCTTGAAATTATTTTATCGGTTCTCACGAATTCAAAAAGACAGCATTGTCACCTGAACTTGAGCTGTTTTTAGGTAGCTGATAGACTTAAGGGACATAAAACTTCTTTTTAAAGACGCGTAGAATTAAATGCTTCTCCTTCTTAGACGAATACAAACGTTATTTGTATTTTATTCGAAAGCTAGTGATTTTAAGTAAATACTTGATAAACGTGAATTTCCACCCTTGAAACTCCGCAATGCTCCGTGGTTCTGGACCTCAATTCCATCCAAGGTATCGACCAGATGTCAGGCAGAGCGCTTGACGTTTTTCGTCATTGAACGTTCTTATCGACGGCAACATTCTGTCAAATTTATCTTTCTTCGTGGACGGAATTTTACCGGCGACTGTGCAGTTTGTTTTCTATCTTAATGTCACCCTCATTCTTATTTGCTGTTTGCCGATACTACAATTAGCAAAAAAATAAATATAGAATTTTCTCTTGTTACGAAATGGGTTTATATTATTATAGCGAGTTTACGAGAAATTAAAGAGTATACATATATATTTAATATGGTTAGATTAGTTTCCTGTCAAATACATAATATATGAATGTGGGCATCCCAGTTTTATTATCTTTTGAATGTCAATAAATTTAAATGCAATGATACGTGTGTTAAGTTAATGGACATCCTTTCTCTCCCTTATCGGATTCAGTATTTGCTCCTTGGGCTGTACGACATATATGTAAAGAAAAATCCAAGTAAAAATCTCCCAAATTTGGGGAAAATCCTCCAACTACAAAGCACCACTGATACTCCAAGCATAATGTTCTCAATGAATTTCTCGTCGAATGTTGTCTTCAAGCTCCTCCAGTGTTCGTGTATTATTGGAATACAATTTTGACTCTAGATAACCTCACAAACAAATCGCATGGCGTGAGGTCGGGTAACCTAGGCGAAATGAATATGATGGATTCCTTTACAATCCTTGATTTTTGTTAAAACATTAGTGTCGATTATATAATTGTTCTTACTTAATTCTAGGATTCGCGTGTAGTTTACCAGACTTTCAGACTCACAAGTGTCTAACTTAAGTGGTTGACATGGCGACTGGAAAGTATTCGTGCAAACATACAGCTGATTGCTTAACTCTATGATATTTTTGCAATGATAATTCTTTTCAAAGTATAAAATATAATCACTTGGTGATTTTACTAATTCTTTCTTGACTGTGATTGAAAATAACTTGAATAAGGAATAAGTTCTAACATCTAAAATGGGTAACTCAACTACAAAAATAAGTTGGTTTTCTAAAAGTATAAGTGATAAAAGGGAAAGATCATAAATCTCAAATATTTATATATTTTGTCGAATGGCAATAATTCTTCGTCTTTATAAATGGATTTTAAATGTTCAATAAGTAAGGTAATCTGGTGATGAGATAATTGTAAGGTGTTGAGACCTGTTTGCTAGTTCAATTGTAGAACTAATAAAAGTGAATTTAGATATGAATTAAATCGTTGCAAATTTGTAAAAATTTAGATCTGATGGAACGTCTGGTATGATAACAAAGACTGATGTTCAATAGTTTGGAACTTGAATAATAATTGACTGAATTCTTCTAGTATTATTTTCAAAAGTTTCTTGAAACGTGATAGTTTTCTGATGACTTTCAAGCAAGCTATTCTGGTTATTTCGTAAAGCGTTCTGATTTTTCAAAATAAGATCTAAATCGTTTTGATCAAGGTTGCCAGAAATAAAACGAATTATAGAACCTAGACCGTTTATAAGTCCGCGTTTGATTCTATGCTGTGTTAGAGTTTCGAACTTGTAATAGGTGTCTTCGTATAAATTTTGAATCCGATTATCTAAGCAGGTGGGAATTTAATTATGTAATTCAATTAGGTCAGCAAACATTTGCATGGTATGTTTCATTTATACCATTATGATTTTGAGAATGATAAAGAGAAACTTTGTCGACGTAAGCGATAGGTTTTCCGTTTTGAGATAGGACAGAACCAAGGGCAATATTTGAAGCGTCGGTTGTGACCGTAAGAGGTTTAGAAAAATCTGGATAACTAAGAACTGGGGGATTACAAAGTACTTTTTTCATAGAATGAAATGCAGAAATGTATTCATTTGAATCAACGGGAATCTTTTCTGCTTTCTTTAGACATTTTGTCAAAGGTTTGGTGAGAGAAGCAAAGTCTCTAATGAATTTTCTATAGTAATTAGCTAAACCGAGAAATGACTGAATTTGTTTAAGAGTTCTTGGAAGAGGAAATTATTTAATAGCCTTAATCTTATCTGGATTGGGTTCAATACCATCTGGAGTAATAATGTGGCCTAGGAAAGGGACATCTTTCCGTAGAAATTCAGTTTTGTCTAATTGGATTTTTAAATTATGGAAAATAAGTTTCTGAAAAATGTGTTTTAAATGAACTATATGATCTTGTAAGGACTTTGAGAAAATAATTATATCGTCAAGATACACAAAACAAATTTATCCAATAAAAGGTAAGAGGACAGTATTCATCATTCTTTGAAATGTGGCAGGGGCGTTTTTTAGACCAAAAGGCATACGAACTTATTCGAAGTGGCCGTTTTCAACTGTAAAGCCTGTCTTTTCAACAGAACGTGGATCCATGGGGATCTGATGAAATCCTTGTGCTAAGTCAAGGGTCGAAAAGTATTTTGCTTTTCCAAGATTTTCTAGAATTTCTTCTGTTCGGGGGAGAGGATATTTATCTTCAATAGTGACTTCGCTTAATTTTCGGAGGTCAATAATCATGCAGTATTTTTTAATACCAGAAGCATCTAATTTTTTAGGAACAATCCATACGGGAGAAGAGTAGGGTGAAGTACTTGGGCGAATGACTTCATCGTCTAGAAGTTTAGTGACTTGTTTTGAATTTCTTGTTTCAAGAAATAGGGATAACGAAAAGATTTAACGAAAATATGATCATCATTAGATGTTCGAATCAAATGCTTAGTAGCTGTGCAGGGTTTTAATTTTTCGTTGGGCTTTAAGAAAGCTTGAGGGAAGTTTTTACAAAGATTTAAAATGTGAAGTCTTTCTTCAGAATTCATGTGTTCTGTACGAATAAGATCAGACATGTTCGGAGATTTGGGCAAAGGATTAGGATTCGAAATTTCATAATCGGAAATTGATTCGAATTGAATGTTATGACTTTCAATTAATTTGATACAGAGCAAATATAACTAGGAGTGTAATTTTCTGAATTCGAGTATTTGACAGGGGGGTAAATACAGAATCTTCATTTGTGTCTAGAGGAATGGTGTCGAAAATCTGATTGGGAATCTTTATTGGTTCCTTATGAGTATGACATAGAATTTCAAAGTTTTCGATGGAAAGTAAATTATGGGAAATGTAAAAATTACTGTGGAATTTCTGTAGGTCATAGTAACCGAAAAGATAATCATATTTTTGATGCCATGGGAGTAATAAGAATTTTCAACTTCTGTTGGAATACCTAGATCATCAAAGATATGGATCTTACAAGCGTGAGTACCAATTTTGGTTTCAATTGCTGTTTTGATAGAAAAACATTTTGGATAAATATAATCCGGAAATTTGTCGTAGGCAATTTGGGGATTCATAAGAGATGCAGAAGCACCTGTATCTATAAGAATAAGTAAATCCAAAGCTTCATTGTAGAGATGGGAGATGAATATTTTCATAAGAGTTTAAATCAATGTCTATTCTGGGGATTGTTGATGAGGAGTTGACTGAAGATTTTCTTGAGAATAATCGTTTTCATAATATTGAAATTGATCTTCTACGGAATTTTATGGACAGAATAATATGATTCGAAGGGGTTTGCTACATTTTCTGTAGAGCTTTCATTAGTGGGTTCGGATTCGTTATTAGTAAGTTCTAGGGCGTTGACCATTATTCGAAAAGAAATTGGGTCTTACAAAAGGTCTACGTGACTGGATCGTCGAAGTTGACATAGGCGTCGGATGATTTTGATTATTTTGTCTTGAAGTATTGGTGACAGGGAGCCTATTCATAGGAAATTGTGGACGATTTGCAAAATTGTGTTGAGAGGGGTTGAATGAGTTCGAAAATTGACGACTTTGTGGGGAAGTATAGAATGGTTGTCTAAAAGTTGGACGAGAATTGTGAAATGATTGTGGGTTGCTAAATTGTTGTCCATAAGTAATAGCGGGACAAGAAGTAGAAAGATTATGAGAGAAATTAGCAAAATTGGGAAAGTTAGGTCTATATGACTGCATTGGCGGTCTAACAGGTTTATTTGTCTGAGGCTTAGTGATGAGAAACTCTTTATATTGTTTGGTTTGCAAAAGGTTGTCGTGTTCTTGGCACCGTCTCTTAGCTTCATCTATATTTTTAGGGGGTGGCTGTAATACAACGCAATGATATTTGGAATTGATTCCGCATAAAAAGGAGGTTAAAGCCATCTGTTCATATCTAGTAATCATTGCTGGGGAAATTTCAGGAGGATAATTTAATCGGCAAATTCTCGTAATTCATGAAGTTTGTTACAAATTTCTTAATGTAGGGGAATGAATATAAAAAAGTTGACGAGTCAAATTTTCTTCAGTTTGGTAATCTTTGAATCTAGTGGTTAAAATAGCAGAAAGATTTCCAATAGTAATAGCATTAGTTTGTTCTGTAAATTCGGCAGGTTCACCTTGTAATCTAGACTTAATAAATGTTAAAGCATGTCCTTTATAGGAAATAGGTAAAGCGTTATAAAATTCTGTAGACTTTCTTAAAAATGTAGAAAGATTGTTTGAATAGCCATCAAATATAGGAATTGAATCTTTTAGCATGTTAAAAATTAATTGGATTGTCGTGCTGAACGACATTCTGTTGATTTGAGGTAGCCATTCTCAAAGGAGATCTTTCTCTTTCGATAGGTGCAAAACGATTAACAAGAGGCATACAATAAAATGTATAAAAGATGCAAGATAAAAATGAGTAAAAAATAGGTGAAAACAAAACTTAAAGCTATGCACAAAATTAAATTTAAATTGAAAAACGCAAACTTGGATTCTTCAGTAAAAATCTTTGTAGAAATGTGTTTTTTGGTAAATTCTTCTTATGGTTACGTATTAAATCTTCTTAGTTGCAAAATCTTAATAGTAATTCTTAACTACTTGCAAGGACAGTAACATCAATTGTTGCTTCATCCAGGGGCTGGTCATCTTGTCTTCGATTCCAAATCAATGGTTCTGGACAGTTTCTGGTAGAATTCCCAGTAAGAGAATAGAAATTCTTGATATTGGCACTCGGAGAGTAGTAGAACAGGACGGCCTTCCCGACGTCTGATACTAACTCTTGGCTTTCGCTGGTACTAACTTCAGTTTTCTCAGGAACTCACTCTTTGGCTTTCTCGGAGACACCGCTGGGCAGCTCGTCTATTTGATATTTCTCACAATGGTGACAGAAACCAAGCCTGGGATCCTGTTTGCAGCTCCAGAAATGAAACTCAGTGTGGTTTCGGTTCGAAACTATTGCAGGAACTTTATTCGTTGAAAACAGGATGACAACAACGCTAATTACATTTCATATTCAGTTTATAAGAAATAAAACATAGCAAAATGCAAAGTCGGTAATGTTCTCACGAAGATAACACCTAAAGCTGTAACTAGAAACCGGATGGACGACGTTAATCAAAAGGGCATCGGGACCGTGTAAGCCGTACCGTTGAAATGGTAATCATCAGGATTCCATAACTTATGCGCAGTGATCCCATCCTGTTGAAACCGCGTGTTTCTGTTAAATCGACGTTCTGTTCTTACAATAGGAGGAAAAAAGTGTGAATCATGTCAGTGTATCGCTCGGAATTGACTGTCAATGCATGACCGTTTTCATCTTCAAAGAAATACGGGCCAATAATACCGCTAGAGGATATGGCGCACCAAACAGTGACCTTTAGACTATGTAGCTGTTGATGTTTCTCTTTTGGGTTAAGTGAAAATGGTCCTCGTCACTGAAAACAAGATTATTTCATCTGCGCTGCGTAGGAAAAATATTCATATCCGTTCAGCACAAGATTTCCGTAATACGTAATCACTTTCCTTCAAAGCATGGATTGATTGGATTTTATTTGGATGAAAACCCACGGATTCCCAAAGCAGCGGAAAGCTTCCGTACAGAACGCCGAAGATTTGCAATGAGCGAATCACTTACTCGATGCACATTTTCTTCGGTTGATACAACATGTGTTTGCCTGGGATGAGTTGACAAAGAGTAGAGCCTTTTTCATCCACTTTTTCAATAGGCTTTTACTTGGCGCAACTCTTGGTCGGCGAATGTACAAAATTTCCGATATGAATCGCCACTCTTAAAGTAAGCCTCGATAGCAAAAGCGCGTTGCGCTCCGGTCCAACGTTCCATTGTGACTATTTAACCCGCACACCGAACCCCACAAAACCTCAAAGGGAATAATGGAAAGACAACTTCCAGACGTGGGAACGCTAATATCTAAGTATAATTACCCCCATATTTTGTTTCTGGATTTTTACGATATAGTGTCACATTAAACCTGACACACTAATGCCAAAAAAGTGCATAGATTTTTTGTCCGACCTGTATACACTACTTACGGCAATATCAATCGCTGAACATCAAATTTGGGCATTAAATAACATTTTAGATGTTTTGTGGTACCATTTTATAGTCAAATCAATATCATTCAAGTCAAAAAAATTAGAAAAACGTCCTCAACCGTTACCACCGAGAGTACAAGGCCTGACAACAGACTCGTGACGTCACCACGAGTAGGCCGGTCGGCCGACCGACAGCATGGCGTGCCGTACATCAGCGCTAGTGAATAATATATTATTATTGCAGCATATTTAATATACTCTACCTGATGTAAATAACGGATAATTCAGAAAAGTGTTTTTGGTATATGAAGGCAACTTGGTGGAAAATATTAAAGTAGTTATTAACTATTTTCACCCTGATTTTCACTGATATTTCATCCAACATTACGTGCACATTAGAGTAATAAGTTGATGTTATAAAAGCTTGCTAAAAATGATAAATTCTTCAATGAATAGCCCCATGTTAGTCACAACAGATCAACAAAATTTCACAGGAATATGTGGACAATTTACTATTATTATAGGCATAATATAATGGTACTTGAAAATTATATAAAAAATGTAGTGCTTGTCGAACAGTTGTGTCTAGCACGAACCAACGAGGAGGTCTGAGGTAAGCTCTTGCCAGGAAAGGAATAAGAAAGATGAGGAGGAAAAAGTGTAGGATAAATGATAAGAAAAACAGATAAAATCAAAGTAAAATAAACAACAGAAAAAACATAACACAGATTAATGAAAACTTAGTAAAAACTCTTAGAACAAACAAAATACAGCAGAAAATAATAACAAAAATTAGAAAAGAGAAAACAAGTATCAAAAATAACAAAAAATAGAATAACGAAAATTAAAGTACTAAATTCTGAATATGTACAAATAAACATTTATCAACAGCTATGTAAATGTTGTAAATGTTGATGCCTCATGTGAATGTAGTCAATTTACGTTTCTTTGTTTTATTCGCGCTTGCAAGCTGCCATTCCTTTTGGCACAATAATTTTTCAAAAATATACAGACTGCAAATAACAATTAGTTTTATAACATAATCTGGTGAATGGACTGTGCAACGCGAAAATAAAGTGTCATGATTATTATCACTCAGATTGTTAATATCAACTGAGAAAGGGCGCGTCTCTTATCAGTGATTTCTAAAAATGATTCCTCGTCACTTTCCAAAACTTTATTGAAAATTATATAACTTAGCCTGACAATATTAATAACTGGATCCTTTGGAAATTTTAAGCCACCTCTACTCAAATTTTGTATAATGTGCTTGTCTTCTATGTCAATATCATCTGTGTGTGTCAAATTTTCCTTACAATGATCGCAGTGATTTTTCTTTAATAAGGCATAACAACAGTAACCAGCTAAGTAGGTGATGACAGGAATTTCATCCTTTATACTATCAATATCAGATTAAATTTTCAATTTCCCGGAAAAAGTGGTAATCATTAAAATTGTGTGGAATTTCATTTCATCTATTTCACGGAATTTATTTATTTGTATATCACCATAGCGAGACGTCAATGACATCAGGCTTTGAGTTCGTAACTTTTTCTCAGATTCATATAACTGACGAATTGATATATTATATTGACCCCCTTCCAGTAGACGATACTTACCAAATCTATTTTCCAATGAGTCAGTTTAAAATTTACCTAACAATATATAATTACTGTGCAGTTCAGATTTACTGTATCTTACTAATTCCAATAATCCATATACTGTATGATGTAGTGCAGTGTAAGTCTGACTACTTAGTCTTTTTGAAAATTTTGCTGGATCATTCCACTCTTCTAGCAAATCTAGCCGTTTTTCTTTCAATGGACTTTTTACATTGACAATTCTCCACCACTTCCATATAATATCAATGAATATCAAAAATTACAGAGTGAGTTATGATGGGTGCTGGTTTATATTCTAACTTAAACAAAGTAACTTTACCCTGAACAATTTTATGCCACCCATATGGACATTGCCATGAACTGAAAACTGTGAGAAAGTGTGAATAATTTTGAAAACTTGTTGATTTTTGATAGGAGGAATAATCATCAATGCTACTTTGCAGTGCTTTAAGTAGTTGTTATTGTTCCTTGTCCCTCAGTTTCTCATCTCGGCTTCTTCTGCTTGATATGTCGTTTGAAAGGTGTTTTGGACAATTTGCAAAGATACTTGGAATTACATCTGCCTTTAATTTTGGATACTTAACCCGGCATCCGACAGGTGAAATTTTATTACAAGTTACGACAGGTGGGGTGTGACTAACCCCAAATATAGACAGGCTTTTTATTTACTAGTTTTGTTTGTTTTATTACTTTCATGATTCAAATATCATTTAACATTGTATATATTAATACTACTCGTATAACAACAAAAAAAATCAATCTGAATATACACATAACGAGTTTATTTGAAATTACATTTTTTTTTATTGGAACATAGGAACAAATTTCTAATTTCAAATAAAAATTAAAAAACTTGCAGTATATATTATATTTTTGCTAAACATGAAAGAAAACAATCTACACTTTTATACAGAGAAAACCGAATAAGCCTAAATGGAACAGAAACATTTTTATTCATTGCTAACTTCAGCACAATTTTTACAAAACTTAAGCGCATGTTCAAGGCAAATAAATGTTTCACAGGTCTGACAAACGTATCTGGTCTTTCTGTCTTTAGTTCGGGAACATTCTGAACACCTCCCTTGTTGATTTGGTCTCATCTTTTTCGATGCAGGTTCAGGATTTTCACCCAATATTTTCCGAATATTCCCTCTTAGCTCCCTTGTTAGCCTAGGGTTTGTCATTCTACTTCTTTGAAATACCTCTGCCAACTGCATACCCAACTGCTTCAAGAAAATTCTTCTTGGTAATTTGTTGTTAGTGTTCTCTCTATATATAATATAACTGTTAATGCCTGCAGTATTTAGTAGGGAAAAAAATAAAGTTAAAGGCCAACGTCGACTATTCCTCGAAACATTGTATGATGCAGATAACTCGTCTACTACATCAACGCCACACTTGGTAAAGTTATAAAAAGATATTATTTCTGGAAGTTTTTTCTCTGACTCATCTACTGCATCATCATGATGTAAAGAAGATAATAGCAGTACAATTTTGTTTTTTTTTTCGGGCAATAGCTAACCAAAGTATATCCTTCCTGGAATCCAAATAAGCTAGAATGAACTTCTCGATTATTCACATTCAAAAAAGGTGCTGGTAGACATGGTTTATTTTTCCGTATAGTTCCCACCGCAGTCAGATTGTGATCCTTGCGTAGATTTTCTAAAAGCTCAACACTGGTATACCAATTGTCGAAAGTAATGTTACGGTTCGTTCCTGAGACTGGAGCCACTAAGCGGCTCACTATGTCCTTAGGACTATTGCTGACATTAAATACTCCATCGGGTTGCTTCCCCACATAAACTTCCTTATTGAGGAGATAATTCGTTCGCGCATCTACTAAGGCGTGTACTTTTATGCCGTATTTTGCCGGCTTATTTGGCATGTATTGTCTGAAGGAGCACCTGCCACGAAATGACTCCAGTTTTTCATCGATTGTAAGATACTGAGACGGCGAATAAGCCTTCTGACAGTTGTCAACAAATCTATCGCAAACAGCTCTAATAGGGGCCAACTTATCCAATTTAACCCTATCTTTGCGACTATTTTTGTTGTCGAAACGTAAACAGGAAATGAGGAATTCAAATCGCCTTTGACTCATAGTAGCCGGAAATATATCCATACCAGTACCATCGGTATTCCATAGCTCATATAAAAATCGGTGGTTATTTTTGAAAACTCCTGATAGGTACAAAAGGCCGAGCACTGCTTTAATTTCTGCCGGATTGGTTTCTCCATAATGGGGAGATTCCTTCCATTTCTCAGATTTTTCTATGATTCTTAGATTCGTATTTTTAACTATATCTACGATCATTACCTCATCAATAAAGAGGAAAAAGCATTCAAGTGGAGTTTTAGCCATTTTTGCATGGTTTTTAACTCCTGGAAGATGGGTTATTGTGTTTTCAGATCTACGTAGTTCGAACATTCCTACTAGGGCACTCTTTGAACCATTTCATCCCGTTTTTTCCAAGAAAGAAACTATGTGTGCCCAAGACCTCGGCTTGTGTTTCATCGCCTTGATCTTCTACAACTTCAGGATTTTGCTCCAAATCGGGATAGTCGCTGCAAACACTTACATTATCTATTTCATCTTCTTCTTCTGAATCGTCTCGATCGATCGCTTCATCTTCATTCTGTACTTCCTCCCAAAGTGCCCAAAGCCTACGTTGCTCCTTCTCGTAATCGCCCATATTTTTTTATAGTTCTGAAATACTGTTTAAAAATGTAAAGTTTTAATTAAAGAGTTATATAAAATGCGACTTACCTTTATAATCACGACAAAATGTGAAATAAAACAACTGCAAAAAACTTCCGAGTTCCGACACGTGGGGTATGACAAACCCCAAACAATCCTATGACGATACTACTCACTAGGCGTCAGCAGACCAACTGCCGCATGTGGCTCGTATTACTTATTGGAGTGTCCTTGAAAGCTACTGAGGCGCTGCCAGCAGTCGGCGTGAAATTTTAATAGATAACTTGTAAAATCCGATCGTTGGGGTTTGTCACACCCCACGTGTCGGATGCCGGGTTAAGGGGTACAGTAATGGTCCTACCTGCCTTTTCGTCATGGAAGGTGGATTCCCAAGTGATGCTGTCCTCAGCAAAGTGCAAATTGCATACTCGGGTGTTTTTTGTAAGCACTAAATCACTACGAGGGATTGCATTGAGCCATCTTTTACGACAGTTTTCATTTAATGGAAACGAAAATACGTGTACCTTCGGACCCTTCCCGTAATTACCGGCACAATTTGGAACGCAGCACTTGTAAGTCATTTTGAAAACTTAGCTAAACAATCGCGAGACACCAATATAAGTTTAAAACATCAATAATTTTCAGGTTACATAGCATAGAAAGATACATAATAGAGGCTAAGAATGTGAGGTTAGTTGGCTGTTGGATGTTAGCAGTGTTACCAAGGTTGTCACATATTCCAATTTTGAATGGAATATTAGACTTCACAAGTGACAGATTGAACGTAATATCGAAAATGAATTCTTAACATACTGAAGCAGATCAGAAAGAATAATCACATCATCACTGAAGCTGCGCAGGCCCCGAGTACATCTTGCAAATTCGCCCACAGAGAGGTACAACTAATTAGTATAGATTTCGATACTGCTATATCAAATCTAGATATGACAACACCGCAGAGAAATGGTGGCGCGGTTCTCTTGCCAGCCAGGCATCGCGAAACTCCATAAGAACATGCATAGGCCTACTTTGCGTGACGTCACAGGCTTATCAGAGCCCAGTTGTTTGGCCTTGTACTCTCGGAGGTAACGCCTCCAATTGTTTCTTAAGGCCCCACATAGAATGTTTCAACAGTTCCTTGATTTTCCCCTAGTAATAAAATTTCGATAAAACCGGCGTCGAGCTCAAATATCTCTCACGGTTTCGGATGACACAAAAAGCAGTTTTATCTTTTACGTAGTCGTGCCATAAGTTCTGTCCCATGATAATCTCATGATAAAAATGAAACAAGATAAGATATATTTATATGAAAGATATTATTTATTCGACAACATTTTTAGAATTCATAATCAAACAGTTTTATTCAAAATGTCCCCCCTTGGCCTTCACACACTGCTTCAATCTCGCGGGCCACTCATCTATCACTGCACGCACAGCTTCCAAAGGAATAGCTGCAGCTGATCGGATCAAATCCGCTTTCAGGGACTCGATATTACGGTGGGCTTTGGAGCAGGCCAACTGCTCTAGCAGGTCCCACAACTTGTAGTCTAAAGGATTGAGGTCCGGACTCCCTGAGGGCCAATCTTCCGCAGCAATGAACTCTGGCACATTGCTTTCCAGCCAGCGCTGCGTACTCTTAGCCTTGTGAGCGGGGGCGGAATCCTGCTGGTAGACCCAGTGTTGGTTGGCAAACAATGTACCACTTAAAGGCTTGACGATAGGATCCAGTATGTCGCTCTGATAGTTTGCCGCTTTTGTTTTCACGCCCTGTTTACAGAAATGGAGCTGAGTGACCCCTTCGTAGGACACCCCCCACCAAACCATGACTGACGCAGGGTGGTGGCCTCTCTCAACTCTCGGAATGATCTCCGAAGCTTCCTGTGAACTCCTTGCATACACTTTGTCATTTTGTCGGTTGAATTTTTCTTCTATGGTGAAGATTTTCTCATCCGTGAACAAAATCTTTCGGAATCCCCCAGCTGCGTACCTCTCCAAGAGCTTCTTGGATCTTGTCGCCCTGATGTGTCGCAAGGTGGCCGTAAGTCGCTGGCCCGTACGTCTCCGGTAAGCCCCTAGCCCTAGGTCTTGTTTAATGATGCGCGACATCGTCCGGACAGGAATCTTCATTTCCCTGGATAGGATCTTCTGCTTCCGGAGTGGATTCCTTTGAATCCTGGCTTTTACGGCTTTGATGGCTGCTGGAGTCCTTACTTGACGAGGTCTTCCGCTTCTTGGCCTGTCATCAACAGAGGACGTCTCATTGTACCGCTGAATGGTCCTAGACACAAATTTACGCGATATTTGAAGGCCGCGTAAGAGTTCAAAAATCTGACTAGCACTGTGATTACACTTATGTAAAGCTATCACTGCAATACGGTTCTCTGCCTTGCCCCACTCCATCGTTATGCTTCGAGAGATCAATACAAACTGAGGTATATGTAATTACCCGAAAAGCGCTTAATCAACTGACACCACAATGTAAACAATCGGACAAGTATTAACAGGTCTACACTTGTTTGAAAACGAGGGACAGAACTTATGGCATGACTATGTACTATAGCTACCTTGTGTACAGATATTAATTTATAGAATAAAATACTTAAAAATCATCGTCACTGTTCTCTTGCAAATTATTACTGGTTTTTCTGCCAGACGGAGCCATCCTGTCCATAGACAATTCCAAGCCGAGTGACTCTTCGTCGGAATGCATGGTCAGTTCTGGTTCATCTTTGTCCAACAGAAGATCATCAGAATCTGTATCCGTGCTGAGATCCAGTGAGGATTGGTCATCGAAGAGCGGCGGTTGCATGCTGCCATATACTTTGCTGTCCTTTTCTTGCAACTGAAATTAACGAGTGAAAAAAGACCAATCGCTATACTCTGCTACCAAAACGGAAGAGACTAAGAAGCATAACACATCGCAGGCTATTACTAGTGCGAGCTATGTGACAGTCTATTTACACTTTATTAATTAATCTAATAATTGCATTGTACTCCTTTTTGCTAGCTCATCACTTAACGATTTTATCTTATTTCTCGAGTCAATCATTCAATCTTAGTCGCAGCGAAGCTTGTACTGTAATTCCGGCACGGGTATCACGTATCTTGAAAAGTGACATTATGCCGATTTTATATGACATTATGCTGTTTTTTTTCACATTGTGTAGGTTATTCTACAAGATGTTAACTTAGCACTTAGTTGTACGTGTTGCCTAAACGTCATGAGGCTTGTTATAAATCTTTGGCTCTGATGTGATGTAAAATCTGCTTCTGAGATGGCATTAGTGGAGGTCTAAGCTGTAAGTTGTATGTGTTGATGATAATTACATTGGGTTCTTGTCTCAAATACCCTTAATTGAGATTCAAAGCCAGAAATTAGTTGCGCATCCACTTTTTCTTATCCATTCTGGACATTACATATACAAATTTGCTGAATTTAAAAAGTGAGAGAGATAAGAAACAATTATATTCACTGTACACTGTTGAATTATAATCCATATACATGCTAAAATGTAATCACACAACGCGGGCGCGGTGATGATTTCCCGTTATTCTCCTCAGTTTTTCGTAATGTAGAACTTTGTACATAACCTCTCCAGAAAGCACAACATATAAATAACCCGTCATATTTGGTATATTCAGTAATGATTTTCTCATATAACAAATATCACTGATTTCATACATATGCAGACCAACACACATAATCATCCAGATGCGATCTTGCTATTCAACCAACTTTCTTCTCAGAGATAAAAACTACAGACCCGGAACACTCAGCCTCACAAAACTATGCAACCGATAATGCGTAGTATAGTTGAATGATTCCTCCATAGATGGACGTTCACTACAATCCTGTGAGCAAACGTGGAATGACTGTTTGCGCCCTAAAAACTACCTAGTCTGCAAGTTGACATCTTATGTTTTTTTTTGACGTTTTATAGGTTTTTTACATGATACTCGTGCGGATCGGTCCGTGTACATTATTGTTGGAACTAAATAAGGTTTTTTTAAAAACGGAGTTTGAAGATTCGACTACATAATTCGCGGCGTTCCTTTGTATCGGCAGATTCAGTGTGCACCGATTTTTATTTATGGGGACACCTTAAATCGATGGTTTACACAACTCCAATAGAAACAATAGAAGAATTAAGAAATAAAATCGTAAATACTCGCGAAGAAATAAGAAATAGATCTCGAATTTTAACTCAAGTTCGTCGTTCAATGAGTCGTCGAGCGAGAAGGTGTATGGAATGGATGATGAACATTTCCAACATTTGTTGTGCTGTACTTGTGTCATGTCAAGTTGCAATTACACTCTTTCCATCGCCAACGGCGCACTTTCGAACATTCAACGCTTCTGTCTCGTATGCATTACCTCATCAGTGATATTTGGATTTCTCCATATACACACCTTTTCCTGATGTTTATTCCTCCCTCCAGTGCTAGCTCTTGGTCGTTCTATCCTCTCGGTTCTATTTACTGCTCCTCCTCTGTCAATCTCCACCAAGTCCTCATCAGCTTGCTCCATCAAATCGGTCTGTATCTTTGGAATCGTGATTTGGAGTTGCTTTTCTGCCTGCATGCTTTCCGACGCCTCGAAACTACGCTCCAACTGATTCAGGCACCTCAACCTGACTGAATATTGGACAAACAACTGCTCTAATTCTTTCTCTAAAGAGGTGAACTCTTCCAAAAATGCTGGTCGCACTTTGTTGAGGGTTTGAAGTCGTTTCTCGTATCTGTCGATTTCTATGTTTCTACGCTCGATTTTGGAGTCGAGGTTGGATTCTGTTACCGAAATGTTGTCAATAAGCTGCTTAGTTTCACTTATCTCATGGGATATGGAATCAATTGCTGAACGTATTGCAGCCTCTACTTCTGACAGTTCGAATTGTTTTCCTATGCTTTTTTGTCTTGCTACTCTCAGGTCTATTTCTTTGCCTAAAAATAAGAAAATGTATAATTTTTGAACAAGTCTTCACAATGGATGATGCTAGGTCACTATGCACTGAGAACCAAATTTGTCAAAATGAAGATAAAATGTTAAAAGTTCATACAGACCTTCTTAGGTTTGACAGTAACCTAACCTAATAAAGAAGCCTGGTGTAACATATTGGCAACGCTGCATATTGCACGACCTTGTGCGTCACCATCGCTAGGCAATAATCAAATCCAAGCGAATAACCAAAATGTCTGTGTTATGTGCCGCGGTTATAATATGGTTCAAGATGACATAAAGGGTTGATGACGTCCGTTACACGAATCGCTTGAACGCGTTGGTTTTAACCGCGGTTTTGTTGCAAGTTGTTTATTTTAGAAAAGCGCGTATATAATCTCTGATTATTTTTATTATCACTTAATAATCGTTGCTTTTTCGTCTACAACTGTATATGGAAAGTTTAAATAAGAAACCTTTCATAATATTCATGGGAGAAATGTTTTTTTTCAGATTTTTTTTAATGACGGAGCCATGGCTTTGTAGCTATGATAACTTTCAATTCTCTAAATTTTTCCGCATGTCAAAGAAAACATTTATTGATTCAGCAGAAATGATGAAAAAAGAAATTAGCAAAACCGTATACAGGTGGATATCATCTAGTGAGTTTATATGGCCATATTTTAATATTCTTGTGGTATATGGCTACACAGGATAGGTACTTTGTTAAGCATAGGAACTACATTTAAATATAGGATATTGCGCATGTGGGCGGAGCTTCGTGACGTCACCCGGAGAGTTGGCTCGTGGGTACCAGCGGCAGGATTGTCGTAACTGCAGTTCACGTATACCGTGGTTACTATATAGTGCGATTTGTTAGTGTTTTTTGGTGGTTTTATGACCTGTTCTATTAGTTATACATACTTTATATAGCCTGTATGGTTGATAAATTGTTAAAAAAGCGGTGTGCTGTTGTGGGATGTAATTTCGACAACCAGTCTAAACGGAATCCTTGCAAAGACATGAAGTTCTACAGATTTCCTCAAGACCCAAACCTTAGCAAACAATGGGTACATCTTATAAAAAGAAAAGACAAAGTCAATGTAAAAAGCGCTAGGGTTTGCTCGAAGCATTTTTGTGAAAGTGCCTGTAAGGTCAATTTAAAGCATACCTTTTTGGGTTACACCCCTAAAAGTTACCGTGGTCTAAACGATGATGCCATTCCTATGGAAAATTCACCCAAGTCTCTATTATCACCTGGACCATCTACATCTGTTGATGGGGAAAAGCTGAAAAGTGCTTACGAAAAAGGATTCAACTTATCCCCTAGAGTTTAAGTATAGAATAAGTTCATACATATTTTGGGGCTAAACGAAGCCGCATAGTCAGAATATTGCAGCGTAGAGGAAGAGGATACTAAGGACATTCCACTAACCGCATCATTAACGAATAAACTGAATATACCTGAAGTATCAGCTGACTATAACGAGGAATTTTTAGTGGAAGAAACGGATGAGCTCGAGTATGATGGGCTGACAAATTTGACCGGCTTTGTTTGCCATAAATAGCAGGATGAGAGGTAGAAAAGTTTCTCAAATGAAACTTACTCCTGGATAGACCATCTTAGTGAGAGTGGTTTATCAAAACCTTCCACAGCTTTCATAAATCAAATTGAGAAGCTTAATAAGGTGTTTACTACATTCAATGGAGACGGAATAGTGACAGAAAAGCAAAATTTTATAGCCGAACTTCTATTGAAGAGCAGCAACATTGACTGCTTTTTATTTATTTTTCAGGTCGAGGATGTTCTTCCGGATCAAAGAACTGAATAAAAGTTTGAAAGACCAGAAAAATCGTGAAAAGAAATGGAGAAAAATTGTGGCTAGACTAAATCATTTCCATGTATAGTTATACCGCCAGCTTACTGCAAAAAGATGATAACTCCATTTTTCTACTTTCCTAGTTGAATACATTTTCACATTTGCATGTATGTAGTTAGTAGTACCTACTTAGGATGTTCTGTGAAATAAGGATGAATGAATGTAGTGCAGTCTTAACGTCATGAGCATGTTAATCCTGCTCCACAGAACATACTAAAATGTGAGATAGGAATTACAAGGTTGAAATCTTTTATTTAAATTCGCCATTTTGTTTTGTATAAAATTTTAATGTAGATACACCGCAATACAAATCCAACGACACCTCATATGTGAAAATCTATCAAGCCGTTTGAGCTGTAGCCTATGAAATATGAATTACAAGGTTGAAATCTTTCATTAAAATCCGACATTTTGTTTTGTATGAAATTTTAATGTATCTAGTGTCACTCGCACCTCTAAGACGAATCCAAAGACACTTCATTTGTGAAAATCCGTCCAGCCGTTTGGCCGGTAGGTGAAAATATGCACGTTATCCATATCAACCCAAATGATAATCACTCTCCGCGTGACGTCAAGCGCACCGGCGGACGAAAATCGAACAGCGGAGCATCCGGCACTGAGGCAATATGTTCCGAATTCTATCTCTTTCTAACATGTGTTGATATACATTTCTCGCGCTTCCCTCTCGTACAGATTGAACTCAAGTCGTCGGACAAATTTGGTTTTCCCTGTATGCCAATTTGTGGAGACAAATTACCGAAATAAAATATGCTGTAATTTGTAGTTTTCACGCCTGATTCGAACGATACTCACCAAGTAGATCAAAGAGGTTTGCCCCAGTTGCAGTTATTTCTGAAGCAATCTGCCTGGAAATCTTCAGCTCATTAACCTTATCTGGTATATCAAAGTTCCTTAAATCCACAGTACTGTCTTCCAATTCATCATTGTCCATTTCATCCATAAAAATATGTAGAGCACCATACAAGACCGTAGTGATTTTTAATAATTCCTTAACGACATATCCATCGGATTGGTATAAACGCTTAGTGTTCAGTTTTACGTTTGCCTTCAATGCCATGAATTCGGAAACGTTCCTTATAAGAGATACTCTTTCGTTCTCTGTGGATATATCCAATGAAATGCTGTAGTCAGGATCGAACCGCTTTGCAAGCCAGATCAATAAATCAGCCACTAAGGAAAAGTCTGGCGTTCGGAAGCTCTCCATAGACAAAAGTTTGGGGTAAGTTAAATCTCGCAACATTTCTATCAAGGTACGGATATCCCGGAACGACATTATCGGATAAAATTTGATGAAACGGGGACTTCTACAGCTATTCTTGCTTTTTCATTTGAATTCAAAAGTTGTCATTGTCACCAGCGTTTCCATAACAACGAATGACATAGAACAATGCCAATAAAAGAGTAGCGTGTATAGTATTGGACTGTCTGAGGACTTCTGTTTTATAGGCGTGTCATAATGGTTTGAGGGAGGAACCAATTCCAACCAGTTGGCCCTCCCACATTTCACTATGGTTCTGTTCGACATGTCATGTGCTAATTTGCGATTTATTAGAATAAAAATAAATAGGGGGTGCATTCCTAAAATGTTTATATGTCCAATAATTTATAGAAAATGAGTGAGGAAACTCAAGAAACTGTTGTTCAGGAAGCAACCGATTCGTTACAGTCTATGAATATTAGAACTGAGCCTGTAGACAGTTCAGATCCCGAACATACCAAACAAAAAGGTAAACAATCCATTTGATTTTTATGTATAGTCAATATTTCTAGCTCTAAGGTTATTTTTGTTGAATAGATTGATTTCTTGTAAACATACTAATTTTTCAGTTGACATCTTGCTGAAACCCACTGGCAATGCCCCAATTATGAAAAAGAAAAAGTGGACTGTTGATAGCGATAAGAAAATTGGATGGATAATAGAATTTGTGAAGAAATATTTGAAACTCGAACCTAATGAAAAACTGGTAAGTATTTTGGTAACATATGATCCCTGCACAGAAATAGACTCACTGAACTTATTACAATATTTTATCAATTGTCTTAAGATTATGCTTCATTAAATTGGCTTTTTTTTGCAGTTCTTGTATGTAAATCAAACATTTGCTCCATCACCAGACCAAGTAGTCAAGAATCTCTATGATTGTTATAGTACAGAGGGAAAATTAGTTTTACATTACTGTAAAACACAAGCTTGGGGATAGGAAATCTAATGTTTATTTTATTGGTTCTATTTTTGTGATATGATTGCATTTAGATACATTTAAGTCAATACTTTCTATTGATTAAACTTTATTTAAATAAATTATGCTGTAAAATCTCAATTGTTATATATTACTCATTATAGGAAAAGTGACAATAGATGCACCTAGTAAGTCTTACCAGTAAATTAAATTACATTTTTTCCAGTTTTAAGCAGATACTTATTGTAATAAAAACTTTATTCAAATCATATTCTAATAAATCACAATACAGTTACAAATATAATACATTTTTTTGTTCTTAATGATCAACTTGCTTCTTTTCAACATTTTCCAATGTTTCTGTGTCTTGTGTTTTAGCTTTCTGTTTAGTTTCTGTATCTTTTGTTTCAGCTTTCTGTTTTACTTCTCCATCTGTTGCCTCATCTTTTTGATCTGTTTGTTTATCTGCCATATCTTTGTCTTCTATCTCTTCATCCTCTGCTTCAATCACAATTTCTTCCGGATCAGGTGCTCTTGGCAAAAATTCTTCCTCTGGATACATTTTGCTGAATATTTCTTTTGCCTAGAATCCAGCGCAATATTAACAGCAAATAATGTGTCATGGGTATCAAAAATATAATTCAATTTTCAAATAGAATGTACATCAGAGAAAAATGTACCTGTTTTACTGAAAAATCATAATCTGAATCAATATCTGGCCCTGTGCCTAGGAACACATTATCTGGAACATTCTGTTTAACATCTGAAGATAGAAAGTCTGGCAGGGAGAAGTAGCATACCCATAAAACCTTTGGTTTTTCACTTTCAGTGTCTTTATGGTTTATGTTGAAGATATTATTGATAATGTGTAGGAAGTCTTCTTTTGGATTTGTTTTTTGTCTGGTTGTCATATGCACCAGATCTTAAAAACATAATAGAATATAAGTTAAACTGTTATCAACACAATTTCAATTCAATTTTTTTCCTATCCCACTAAAACCACTTTGCTACCCAAGAAATTAATATTTTTTAAGCATGAATATACTCACATAGATCCTTTGGGCAAGTCCCTGTCAATGTCCCTAGTTCTATCATGATGACAGAATTTTTATCATTTTCTGGTGGATACAGCAGTAATGTTAAATGTTCCTTTTCACTTGACATTACTGATCTATCTGTTATCAAAACACATCTAGAAATATATTCTAGCTTCTTTAAATCTACGAATTGCTTTGGAGCATGCTCCAAATTCAGCACTAAATGTTCTGCTGTCAGTTTTTGGTCATTGACCAAAAGACACTTGAATTTGTTTTCTGAAATTGTCAACCCTTTCATCGGTTGGCCTAAGGCATAGATCCCACCAAAAACTGCACTCAACCTGGAACAAAAGTCAAACTATGCAATTATTTACAACACAGTCAATATCTGTTGCAAAAATAAAAACTGTACTTTCACTTACCTGCAAAATGCTTGAGGCATCTCTCCACTACCATACATGGAAAAAAGAAATGGAGTTTTCCCAAATCTTCCTAAACTTCCCAAAAATCTTCTAGTTTGTTTGATGCCTTGTTCACATAATGTATTATTATCAGACATTGATATCGCATAAAGAACATAATGGATTAGATTTGGTGTCAACTTTTTTTCTTTCAAGTAATTATGGTAGGTTTTATCTTTACAGCCTACAAAAACATCAATATAATCTATTTTATTTGTACTACTCGCAAGGCTATATCAGACATTTGACTTAATGTATAGGCAAATCAGTGAGTCAATCTTCATATATACATACAAGCATACACTTTTTGATATCATAATTCTTACTTACCACTTAAATCTTTCTCAACATCTTCAAGAGATGTCAGAAGTTTCATCAACATCCTCTTTTCTATCACAGAAACTTTGTTGTTGGAAAAAACGTCTGACCTTGAACATGGCACTACTTCCAGATGCTCATTTAACCATGTCAAAACTCTACTCACGCTTCTGAACTCTGAATAACGTGCTATGTTGGAAGATATTAATAGTTCAACAAAGTCACCTCGTGCATATTGCAACTGAAAAGAACCATTTGTTTCAAAGTGAAACCTAACCATATTAGCAACTACAATAACAGTAAGGCAGAAAAATTATGATAATAATACTTTGCTATGACATTGATGAGAAATTCATTTGCAATAAAAGGCAGAAGATCCAAGTCTAAGAAAAAAAGCAAACAATAGAGAAAAAGTTCCATAAGAATTCAAAGTACAAGCTTTAAGTTCAAACCTAGAATGTCATAACTATAGATTATTATCACCTTAGGTACTAGATCAATGTTGAATTTCCTCGACTCTTTGAGTAATGCTTCTTTAGTCCAAGTAACAGTCTCCTGGGTATGTTGCTCTTCATTTGGTACTAAGTTTTGAATCAAATCACTATCATTCATTTCTGTAGACTCTTTAGATTGCTCAGTGTCTGTTTTGCTACAAAAATGATAGTAATGCCTATATGATCAAAATTATGAACAATTTTAGAAGATAGGTACAGATAATACTGACATAATATTTCTTAATGCTTACCTTTGTACATGCCAAGTACATTCAATGTTTTTTATATCAAAAAGTTTGTTGCCTAGCTCAACAAATTCACTGATCCCTGAATGTTCAATATGAGAACTGTTTATGATATTCTTTCTTTCTATTTGCTCTTCATGAAGCTTGCTTATACTTTCTAAACTGAAAGAAGCCCACTGCCCCCCATAATAATCAGACCTACAAGAGAAAAAAATATCAGTTTAAAAAATCAGGCAAAAGATAAAAATGTACTGTTATTTTGGTTTGAAACTCTAGTTGACTGGCATGGTCCTAAAAATAAATCATGAGATGTACAAAACGTTTTCTTTACCTATCAATATGAAGAACTCTTTTGCCAACACGACTGGCTGCCGCTGATACAACAGATTCTACAATACCTAAAACGATTTTTTTGGTTTTTATAATTCCCTATAACTAATGTTTTCATTATTTTACCTGTTCCAACTATTATCACGTCAAACTCAGTAGGTAGCTGATCCATCCTTGGTTTAAATCAACTGTTACTGATTCTTTTTCGTTTACGTTAACTACAATTACACAAATAAAAAATTAGGCAATGCAAAATATCTTTTGACAACTGTACAAACCATCTGTTTGTCAGCGTGTCAGCAAAACAGCGCCATCTATCAAGCGTCCAGTGAGTATTCTTGCATTATGTAGACAGGGACGGTCTTAGATTGAAATCATATATTCTACTAGACTCTAGAAGACTATCAATTGCTAAATTTTTCTCGATATTTTTAACGTACTAAATAATCCCTCATTACCCCGGGATAGACATATTTTTTGAAAGTTGACCCTGCCATTCTTGTCACCTCTATTACGGCGTTGTCAGCTCATTGGATAATTTTGCTACCTCTGCTATTTTACTAGAATGTTATAAAAAAAAAAGAAACCATGAGACTGGTGGAGTTTATGTAACATGCAGATTAGTATTTTTACTAATTGTTTTCAATTTTTTAATCATTCATATATCCTGTCCACAATTTGCACATAAACATAAAACAATTATTCATATTGTAGATTTCCATGTGTATAAATAGTGTATCTCTAAGTATTTTGGAGTAACATCAAGAGTAGCATTTTCTTTAGTTTTTTAGCAAACATTGCTACGCCTCAAATTTTATACAGGGTGACTTTGAAGTTGAGTCATTAATTTTCAGATAATTATTGTAGAAGGAAGATAAACCAGAATATGTGTGTAAAAATAAAAAAAAAATTAAAAAAATTTTTGACCTTGTTTTATAAAGTATCCTCCCGACAAGTATTTCATTGCGGACCTGTATTTGATCGTGAGGTCCCCTGTGAGGTCTTGTCACCTGATTCACGAGCCCGTTGTACTACATTAACAAAGGCACGAGGGGTTGGTTGCACTCGATTGGGAAACCGATCCGCATAAACATGTGCCATTTTTTATTTCGTTTGAGCCACGCAACAGACACTATTCACACGCTAACCGACTGACACTGACTGTATCTATAACTGAACTGAATAAAGTAATTGTAAAAACATCGTTCCAAATTCTTTCGCTTTTTTGTTTCCGATGCGATGAACCGGTAAGGCGGATTATATCCGTTGTTGCCAAGCACATGATATTATTATTGAGACAGGGCGGTACTCAAACTTCCAAAGGGCTATAACTTTGTTATTTTAATTTTACCAGAAAAATGGTAAAGGAAAAAAACATTTCTTTTGATCAGATCTACTCACTGTTAAAATAAATGACTCAACTTCGAAGTCACCCTGTATATCTTCATTGGTATCCCTCAAATATTTTATTCAAAGCTTTTTTCATAATATTCTAGCAAAATAGCAGAGGTAGTAAAATTGTCCGATGAGCTGTCAACGCCGAAATCTAGGTGATAAGAATGACAAGGTCATCTGCCAAAACGTCTATTCCGGATTCCGGGGTAACGACGGAGTCATTTAGTACGTCAAAGCGGCAGTTTTCCAAGCAATGCATTTTTTAAGCGGTGTGCAACGATTTCGGGAAAAATTTCGCTAGGTTATCTTTACTCGAACCGGTTACGATTTCAGAAGCATCTGAGCGTTAGTAAAGTTTCTTTAAAAACGACACGTTTTAGTGAATTTGAAAAGTTTAAGGAAAGCCATGCAAAGGAATCACTGAAGTACGTCTTCATTCGATTGCATAATTTGACCATCCTATAATTAATACGCTAGTAACCCAGTAGATGGCTCTGCCATAGTAGTTATTTCTAGAAGTTGTCCCTCCTTTTCTCTGCACGGCTCATCCAGCCAATCACAACAGCCGTAGTAGACGTAACAGTGACATAAAACAAATTTGTACACATGAGAAACGTCATTCCCAAGAACTGTGTAGTAGTAAAGTGACGTGATCAAAATCATCAAATCGATCAACTGAGATAAGAGAAAAAACCGGGTGTCCAGCATTTTGAACATTTTCGGAGTGTAGTGATCGTATCTCGCCTCCGTCATGGCTTTCATGATGCCGGTAGTGAAAAATGACTGGGACATATACAAGTCCAACCGGTCCCGGAGAGTGTCCGAGTGTTCCAATCCTTCGACCTGCAGGTCCAGGAAGGTTTCTGAGTGCCGATCCGAGGGACCTAGTCTGTCCACGTCGCCGGGGTCCGATTTCATCACCTCGCCTACCCATCGCTCCGTGCCAGCAAATATGCCTTCCAGGCAGTATTCCAGGTAATATGATGTGGTGTTGAGACATAGACAGAGCCGGATTAAGCCCTACAAGTTGACATAAGAATGCATTTTTGACCTCATTTTCCTTCTGTAGTCAAATTAGTTTTAAATTCGAAAATAGCTTGCTACTCTGTAGTGTATTAACCCAGATTATTTGGATGTATACTAAAATACACGAAAATTATTTCTGAAAACGTAGTGGCATCTGTGTCATATTCTTATTTTCATAAATAACTCAAGATGCAGAAATGCCGTTTTATCCTCCATATTCCCTAAAGTATTGTCCACATTATCATTATCATGAAAAAATTATCCAAAACCTAAATTCTAGTGTATTTTTTAGGATGGAGAGGCATATTTAGTTAGTAGGAATTGTGTTAAATAATAACATATTTATTATTCATTATTTTAAAACAAAAACTTAATAATCGGTAATCGGATTTAAAATTCAATAGTGAAATAAACTTACTTTTTAACAGCTTATGCTGTTTTTTCCAGCGCTTTAATATGGTGAATCCTGGTGATATTCTATGTTTTTAAGATCAAATAATTCTTTTTTTTCTGCTGAATGCTTGGTTCTTTCTTTGGGGTGAAAACATGGGCTGGACTCAGTAGTAAATTAAAGAGTACCTTCCTTTCTGTTTTGAGTAACTTTGTTGCAGGAATTTGATTAATAGCAAAGAGATCTTCACAAATACCTTCTGTTGTTTGACTGCAACTATTTATGTATTTTTCTGATTTTGGTTAAAAATAAGAACATTATTTTTATTTGAGAAGATTCTAATCAGTGTTATGAATGTTATTGTTTGCCTAATTTATCTTGAAAGAGAACCAAAAAATAACTAGGACTGAAAATATTCCTACTTTTGTCAAATGTGGAGCTTTGTGTGTTATGAATTCTTTACTTGAGAAAACAGCATTCATTTTTTTTACTAGATTCGAGACAACTATATTATCGATATGTGCTGAAGCCGCATATTCTTTTTTGATTCATTTTTTATAGCACTGAGATTGCATGTGACCGTAATCAACATTTTGGCATCTAATTCACAATCTTGCTGAAAATACTTGACCTTGATAGATCATATAATTGCTTTGTTTGTCATAAATTAACTCTGTTTATACAAAAAATGAATTACAAATACATGAACTTGTACATGCATACAACTTTCCGATAACAATTATGTACGATGCTATGCTTTTGACAGTAAATTGAAATACCTATTTTGTTTACCAATCTAACTTACTATTTGAAAATTGAGTTCCATTTGAATGAATGTGCGGCCAATGCTTAGATTACAACAGGTCCGACGAAAGGGAGCCCTAAATAAAGTTTTGTTTGCTCTCCAGATCCTCCTTGCTTCTGTTTATCTTCTGACGTACCTATCAAGGACTACTACTTCACAACTCGTAGTTCCTGATTGATTTAAATCATTAGTAAAATAATTGCCCCATTTATTAGGTTAATAAGCACTATTTCCGACTCTGTTCCGGATATATACTCTCGTTAAAATTTATAATCTTGTTTGTAATTCTTATTTTGTAAGGTCGTCTAGCATGTCGCTCTATCTCTATCTTTCAATTCATTATTTTTATATCAGGGTCAGTAATACATTTTACAGATTTATGAACTTGGTCAATACAAATATGAATAAATCACGAAACCTTGTTTAATGTTGCGGTTAGCATGGCACGCATTCAAGACGATATAAATCTATTTTCGATTTGCTAAAGATATTCTACCCTCTACGGCGTGAGCAGAAGGGTTCATCAAAGCGTGATACAAAGTTAGATAAAAATCAGCGGAAAGTGATAGATCAATAATCGTTTCTTAACAACATTGAAGAATATTTTAAGAATATTTTGCCCTCAATGATTTTTGGATAAATCTTTGTTTCAAATATAAGGATAAATTTGCATAACACTAAATAAGAGGTGCTTTTTCAATTATTTAAGAAGAAATAGTAGGGAAATGCAAATGAAGGATATTTTATTCTATTTGTTTTTTTATTATTTTATTTCCTCAATTTGTCGATTTGCTTAAGATTTTTTGGCGAAATGTCTTTCAATATCTTCTATTTTGTTACAGAGCCGGATCCAGGACAAGCGACAGCAGTCTACAAAGTCCAGTGAAAAGCGTAGCCTCATCGCCGCCAAAAAGCGACGATTCCTCCAGCAGTCTGAATAAATTCCACAGCAGACTGCTGGACAAACTGAAGAAATCCTTGAAGACAAAGGACTCCGACTCGGAAAGGAGAAGTTCATGAGATAAGGAGAGTCTTCCTTCCAAAGGAAATGGAAGCTGTTGTGTGTGCCCCAACTCACCGTAGTAAGACTTTTGAAAGTGCTAGTTTTGGTAGGCTGAGATTTAGTTAAGTCAGTCTAGTCGTACGTGGCAATTTCTGGATCCTAATAGAAATACTTCAGTATTTAGTCAATTAGTTTGTATCAACTGCAATCTATTAGGTTTATCTCACAACAATCGTTAGGATACGTTTCCCTCAACTTTGTATTTTTGTGTTTTTCTATTTCACCTCTTGCTTCATTTGTGTCCTGGTTTCCGTATCCGATTTTCAAAAAGTCATTTTTGCATATGAAAATAGGTGCTCGTTTTTATTACGTAACACGAGTAATAATTTTTCCGAAATGTTATACTACGACGACTGGACTATATTTGTAAACGAGCATTATTAGTTGCGGTGTCAAGACAAATAGTTTCATGCTTAAACAATATACAACATCAAATCGAATGTTTCTCATTGCAGCATATTAAAACTATGAGAAAAGAGATATTCTATATTATATTTTGGTAGCATTTTCTATCTGAAAAGACAATGATCATCCTTGAAAAAAGGACAACATCTTACTTTTTCAATATTCAAAACTTATCAACATCTGAGCTTATTACCTTTTTTTTGTAGCTATGTCATTTTCACAGCACTTTTGCGACTCTATGTTTAAAATTTTGTCCAGTAATTATACAAAATTTATGATTTCCACATTACTTACTATATATCGCGTATCTCAAGGATTACGTGTTTTACTAGAAGTAAATGACATTTAAACAAATATAGGTCAGGATACTAATCAACGTGAGAAATATCTAAAATTCAGAAATAACAGTAACTGATAACATGTGTTTCCTTTTATATTTATATCTGGGTGATATTTTTGACAAAGCTAAAATTGTTGCCATGTATGGTTGTTGCAATTTCAAAGTTGTCTGTTGGCTATTGTTACTTGGTTAGAAATTCTAATCAATGTGAATTTTTACATATTTAAATGTGCATGAATCTAGATCACTTATTATCGACGAAAATATTTGATTCCTGTTAATAATAATTTAATATACAAAGGATGAGTAATCACAAAAAAATACCAACGAAAATAATCTATGATTATTTGTATGCATTGCTATGTTAATAATTGATGACCTGTACGTGCAAAATATGGAATTTAACTAACTGCAAATAATTTCAAGTCAGAAAAAGCAAACTTTGTTTTCAACAAAATATATAAACATGAAATTCGCGAACTCTATCAAATTATATAGACAACGATTTCCAAATCATCCCAGTCATGTTTGGAATTATTTTTGCAAGTAATTCTCGTCTGTTCAATCCCGTATGATTTTGTACCAGTAAAATTCCATTATTACAATGGTTCTTAAAATCGATAGTAGTCGAGACATTATTCACTGGAGTTTTTTATTCGGAATGACTCAATGATATATTCCATTGGTCATCCCGTTGCTACACAATAGAAAAAGCATACACCTTGCGTGACCACTGAGCACGTCTGATTGATATAATCAGTTAATTTGGCACCCATGGAAATATTTCTAAATAATTTGCACATTAAAGGAATGATAGCTACAAAGGTTAGAATATTGAAGTATCCATGGAGTTGGTTCATAATTCACAAGAAGTGATGCATATTTTCGTCACAGGTTAAAATATAGTGACGATGCAGATAACAATAAGAATAAATCATATAAATAACACATTTTATTTCTATATTTATAATCTCAACAGTTATTTATATTCGTTTATCATGTTTATTTTTGCAAACTTCAGAAGCTTATTTATTACTGAACCACATGTTATTGAGCAAACTGGTAATTCTACTAAAATGACGATATTTGACAGTGGAGACAGAATTTTACAACAGTTTTAATGTCTTTTCTGCTATGATCATAAAAATTTTAATAGCCGAAATCACGTTATGAATGGAATTGTTGGGGATCACAAATAGGTGAACAGTGGCATTGTACGAAATGTAAACAACATGTTAGATCAAACGATAAAGTCACTTTTAGATAAACATGTGCTTCTCAATTTTTAAATTAAAAAATGTCTATTATAATCACAACAGTTTTATTGTAAACATGCGTCACGTATAAGAAAGCTTACGGGTTTTGAGTTGGTGTTGTGTGAAGCAGAAACAAAATTGTTTCCAAGTAGATAAAAGAGGATAATGATAAATAAAACTGATACATGTGCCTCTCATATTGCATAAGCTTCATTATTACTATATATCCTGACACTGCAAAAAATTGTAGCAAATAATGTTGCTCTGTGATATTATTGTTATATTAGTTTAACGATTTTGTAACACGTATTCTAAAGAACGTGAATGGTCGAATTCGCTTAAAATTCGGGTACTTTATACCAGCTTTAAGAAACACAATGTTCCTTATGTTTATAACATATACTCGTCTACAGCACTACGTTTTAATAATACAGTTTTTTTCAAAGTCTTTTCAAAAGGATTTTAAACTTGATATAAACATGAGTTATGGAATAAAACTAATACATCTATCATAGAAATTCACAGAATTTAAGGTTTATCTAAATAATACTGTCTAAAATACTAATTATTGAAAAAAAGATAAACTGGGAAATTCTAAAAATGCAATATTCCCAGTTCAGAAATATGCAATTAGCTTGAACCAATTATTTTATAACAGCTTTCATTTTGGACCATTCAGTAGCTTTTTCGATTAAAGTAAGTTTGGCTTCTCGGCCGCTAAGTGAGATTTTAAGGTAGGGTGTATTACACCAAAGAAAGTATTTTAAAGCAAATATATAGACTATATTTCTATCCTATCTTTTGATAAGGATTGTTAAATTAAGGAATTTTTGTTCCTAATTCTAACGACTTAAATGTTAAAATCTAAAGACTGTATAATGAGGAGGAACTTACTACCTAGGGTTCACTATATATAATCTGTTCTATTGTTACGAAAGCATAGTTTATTAAAGGAGTTTATTTTATAATGATATATTTGTAGAGGGGATAAGAGTATATTTTTAGTGAAGACCAACTATTTTTGGTACTATTTTAGACACGTGGAATAGCCAAAATGCGATTTTATTTGGAATACAAGCAAACTTATCGTTTATCTTAATTGATTTAATTTTTCAGATATTTGAGGGTTCAAATCTTTCGGTTAATGTTTTATGTACGATTTCCTTATTTACTTTTCTGTATTCTTGAAAGAACGCATTCAAGGCTAAACCAGCTGTTTACAGTACCTGTCACTAAAATGTCTGCCCTCGTTTTATATACATTCCAAATAACGGTTCTAAATTTGTTAGCGTAGAATATTCACGGTATCATATCTAACGAAATAATCTTAGGAAAATATTTGCCTATGTTTTTTTAAGTTTTGTGCGCTCCTATGGTTACTATTGGATTTGCTGAGATGTGATTGGTTATTATTATGTTTTGAGGCATTAGTTATAACAATAAATCATTATGATTATTCTTGAGTTTTACTGAAACTTGCTCCAACACCCCCTCATTCGTGGTGTAAAACTGGGTTCTATATGTACTGTTACACAAGACCAGAATATTTACACTATTGAACTTCTTAGTTATTCAACAACATACATATTTAGGTATGGCGGCGAAATATGGATTCATTCGCTGGGAGTACGATAACAGCGCCACATAGCGGACATTGTATATAAACAGTTTTGCATGATAAAAATAAAGGTCATACGTGTCACTTGTACTTATCTAGTCGCTATAGCCTAGCTTGCACCTACTCGCTGTGAACGCCATCTATGAAAAATGGCCCAACCACCGTCATTTTGTCAACAGTATAAAACATACAGCTTTTGAGTTACAAAAACACGTTGTGCCGCAGCAGAACAGCCCCAAAAACAAATACCATATCTGAGTCTGGACTCATGACTCACCATTTCCGCACGGGTATCATGTAAAAAACCTATAAAACTTCAAAAAAACCCATAAGATGTCAACTTGCAGACTAGGTAGTTTTTAGGGCGCAAACAGTCATTCCACGTTTGCTCACTAGGATCGTTGTGAACGTCCATCTATGGAGGAATCACTCAACTAAACTACGCATTATTAGTTGCATAGTTTTGTGAGGCTGAGTGATCCGGCTGTCTAGTTTTTATCTCTGAGAAGAAAGTTGGTTGAATAGCAAAATCGCATCTGGATGATTATGTGTATTGATCTGCATGTGTATAAGATCAGTGATATTTGATGTGTGAGAAAATCATTACCGAATATGACGGGTTAATATGTTATGCTTTCTGTAGAGAGGTTATGTTCAAAGTTACAAATTACGAAAAACTGAGAATTACGGGAAATCATTACCGCGCCCGCGTTGTGTGTAATTACTGTTAGCATGTATATGGCTTGTAATTCGACAATGTACAGCGAATATAATTAAGTATTTCTTATCTCTCTCATTTTTTAAATTCAGCAAATTTGTATATGTAATTTCCAGAATGGATAAGAAAAAATGGATGCGCACCTAATTTCTAGCTTTGAACTCAATTATGTGTATTTGAAACAAGAACTCAATGTAATTATCATCAACACATACAACTTACAGCTTAGACCTCCAGTAATGCCATCTCAGAAGCAGATTTTGCATCACATCAAAGCCAACGATTGATACAAGCCTCATGACGTTTAGGCAGCACGTACAACTAAGTGCTAAGTTAACATCTTGTAGAATAACCTACATAATGTCAAAAAAAACTAGCATAATGACAAAAAAAATCGGCATAGTCACTGTTCAAGATACGTGATGCCCGTGCCGATCACTGCACTGTTCACATTATCGGGAATGAAACTGAATTCATCCCAGATCGCTATTCCTGCCATTTTCAGTTACATAAGAACGCTGATATTAACGAAAATGACTGATATATGTGGTGGTTTTGAAGTCGGGTACAATGGAAGCGAAATATTTCCACCTTTGCCAGGTCTCGGTTGACCCTAATTGACACATTTCATCTATACGCTTATATTCCACTCTACCAGTGGTCACCAACCTTTTCAGTGTGTTGAGATACTTTGATAATTTTGGAATAAACGGTGAGCTACCTAGTCGTAAGCAATGTAAGCCAATGAAATTATACTCAGTTGCTACATACATGTGTTTATTTTACTACTACTAATACATACTAATAAACTTAAATTAACTAATAACTAATACATACTACATCACCAGTCGTAGGTGTTTGAAAAATGAACAAAATTTTTCGTCAGCTACAATGACATGTCACATGAGAGTGAATAAAGGTAACCTAAAATAAAAAAGCAACGCACTATTTTAAACAAAAGCATGTCCAGATACAAAATGCGTGTTCAATGAGAAGCCTGACATTCAGACTCGCTGACAATTTGTTTTACGTTTGGAGTATAATTTGATACCGCCATTCGAATACAATTATCCAAATGTTCATCTGTAAGTCGATTACGGTATTTGTTTTAATAAGCTTCATATTTGAAAAGGAGGATTGACACAAATAGGTTGAACTAAATAATGCTTTAACTTTCAAAGCAATACGACACAAAACTGAATATCCATCTTTACTTACTGAAGGCCAGATAGATCTTGTATTTGAAACTAATGATTTTAAAGCTAAATCATTTTGAAACGCAATCACTTCCATTTCTGTCGCAGCGATGTCATCGCTAACATTCTGCGTAACAGAAGTTGCAAATTGTTGGATATCAATTTCCATGAAGGGCGAAACAATAAATTGCGACATTATAGCAATTTCGCTGAAACCTTTGAAACGATTTTTGAGGTTATCCTTCAAGTTAGAGACTATTTCTACATGATACCTACTGTCATCTGGTTCTATCTTTTATGAAAGAACAGGAAAATGCCTGGTATCGCCATCGATTAAGTTTTGTTCCCAAAATTCAAGGTTTTTGATAAACGCTTTTTATATCAGAAATCATTTCTGCTAGTTCTTTGTCTCTCCCCTGAAGCTGCAAATTAAGTTCATTTAATTTTTCTGTAATATCCACAAGAAAACCAAAATCTCTAAAAAAAATTGAATTTTCCCACCGCGTGCGCGGCGATCGATTCGATTCCCCCCATTAGGCTGTTTTTTGTTTGTTGTTTTGCTGAACAGATGCCTTAAGGTTCCAACCCTATTGTTGAAGGTAACGCCACTGTTTTGAGAAATACTGAATGCTCATCGCCGATTTTCCGCAGGAGTCAAAAGCGCTTGCAGTTTTGTTAACGTCGAAAAACGCGACATTCATGCGAGAAATATTTGCAACGTTCGAGTTTGAACAGGCTTCTGTCGAAGATTGAATGTCGTTCAGTCAACAGTGGAAAAATACTGGACATAGTGCAGGCAATTTGGTGCGTTCTTTGGCATTATTGTTTATCGTGCAAATGCTATTTTGCAGGAAGAGCGCAACAGCAAAATAATTAAATCAAAATTCGAGGCCCACTACTTTGAAGATCCTCCACACTTTACTTTCCAAACTAGTGTTTTCTTCAATGTTTGAGGACCATTATCTGAATATGGTCTGGTGAAACTAACTTAAGTATCTTATACTCGTTTTACATCGACAATAAATCCACGGATTTCTTCATGAATTAAGTTCATTCAAAAGTGTATGTAGAACAGAAATTTGACGTCAAATAAATCCAAGAAGTTCTTCGTGGATTTCTTCGATAAATTAGAACTTTTTTGCCAAGTTGGACGTCAAATATCATAGTGCCAACGTTGTTTTCCTTTCCATTATATTGAACAACTTTTCAAATCAAGTATAGAACTTCGTATAGAAAAAACCTACAATACATATACATTAATACTCAAAATGTTTCTAGCAAGAATTTGCTTCTGATGAAGTTACTGATCGTACTCAATCGTATTTAAGATTTGCCTCGCAACGGATATTTTTTCCGAATTACTACTCCGTGGACTATACTAAACGTACTTGGCGAGTGGAAAAGTACCGGTTGTCATCCTCAATCACAAGTGAACATCCCAGATGTATGATGCCCTGTCGTCGTGAATAAGCCAAAGGCAATAAGATATTGGTGATGCTATAAATAAACCGCCATTGAATACCTCCACTGGCACGCCAGCATATCATCAGCATTTCATCCGCGGCAGCGAACATACAGAGAAAGGTGAGGCCATAACATCAACCTGATATTTCATAACAGTAGATCGATGTTTATGCGGTGAAAATATCGAGAATTTGATATTAGGTTTTTGTATCACATGCTCATCATGAAAACCATAAGCAACTTTAAGCGATCTACCAATCGTAACCGGTAGTGTTTGGTTTCAACTTTCCTTGTTTAAGCAACGCGATTTGTACAGCTGTCAAATGATGACATCACGAACTGGCCCTTTGTGACGTCACTGGGTAACTGACAGTTAAGACTTATAACAACCCCGCACAGGGAGCGATTTCTATGCGGTTCTAAATATCAAATGTCAATCCATGAATCTAACAATCCTTTCCTATTCGTTTTTGTGTTTGTTTCGTGTCGTCTGAGACTTAATTTTCCGTAAAAAATTATCAGTGAAAAAAAAACGATATCAGATGACATGACAGGCGTAGAACTAGAGTTTCTATGGAGTCATACATTTTTTTGTGCAGAATTTAAAAAGTACATAATTAGGTGCATTTTTAATATCACGGAAAAATATTTATTTGATTTATATTTATAATCGTTTGAATTTCGGAACTTTCTAAGCGGAATTTTGTTGATTACCTAAGTACGCAACGTTGCCCCTATTTAACAGTTTGCCAGATCCCTATGGTGAGGGTCGCATTTGAAATACCCCGTACACCATGCTGACGAGTTGCCAAATAGCACGAAACAACTGTCCGTTGTAGCCCGTCTGTGGCCGGAAAAACGAGAGATATGTTACTAGCTGATGAGACTTTTTTCTGAAATAGCTTTTTCCAATTTACGCCTCGATCAAGCCCTAGGCATGTACAACTTTAACATTATTTTTACCAGTATAACGTCTATTTTCGTCATAAAAAGTCTGGATCGTACGTACATTGGCGCAAACAAGCAGACCACAGACGCCGCTGTCAAGATATTTGGCACGTCTTCCTGTCAATTTTGGCACGGACACACAACAGCCGTATTTATTATCCTCTTAGACGGATTTTTATCCCACTGGTGGTGCAACTGCACTATGTCTGAACTGTTAGAGATGCAATAAAGTTTTATGATGTATGTTTGTGGAAGTCCCTACCGCATTTCGTCAATGGCATGTGAATCAAGGCAGCGCTGCACAAAATTTTTGTAATCGATCAGCATTTCGTCGCTATCTCGACTAAAAAGTTTACGTTATGTGGAAACCACTGTAAATTGGCGCATGCATCGCAGTATTGCCCGATTTTGCTCCCGCTAGGTGGCGCTTGTGTGCTGTGGGAGTAACAGCTGTCAAGATTTTTCTTTTTATCCAGTAGTACTTGAAAATTGTAATTTAATCATATTTTTTTATTATATTTCCATAACGAATAAAGATATTGATATGCGGTTTTCGTCATTTTATAGGATGTTTTATGCTCTTTCCGAGAAATATTAAAAAAAACATGCAGTTGTATTTGAAATTTTCTAGAGAATTCAAAAAATAGTAACACATCCATAAAACGCTATCTAGTGGTCACAAAGTGAACTAATTTGACAAGATTGAGCCTTGAAGAGGAGCGCAGGCGCAAGCTCTTTCGAATAAAACCGGATTATGAAAGTCGGTGCAGCCAAACATATTACTTTTACTGAAATTACATTCAACCCTTCCCCCACCCCAAACGAAACAAAATATGGAAAAATCACATTGTAAAAAAAGTTCGAAATCTGAGCATTTAACATTAAAGAGTGATTAACATCACATGAATTACGCATTTTTACATAATAATAATGATGCGTTTGAATTTTTGAAATTGAAAATACGCCCCCTAGCGGCCATTTTCGTATAACATCTCATTTCGAATTTTTTCGCCACAATAATACTTCCTCGCCATTTTTCGACTAATTTTAGATTCATTTAAATCTGGTAAAAAATCACGTTTATAAACGATATGCTAGCTGAAGGGAGAACAAATGCTCAAATTGAAAAATTTTTCTATCTGCTACTTATTAAACTGCAAAAAGGGAACCTAATCGCTCAATAAATTCCGGCAACAAACATCAAGAGCCATATGATTAATTTATTAGCACAACTGTGGGTTATAGTCTGATGGTCAATATTAGAAGCTATTAAAAGCGATAGAATGCCGTGTAAATAGATTTGAGTGATTACCGCTTTTTATGGACTTGTTTGTCCGTTCTAATTTATAACTTGGAGCTCTGAAACTTTCCGTTACTTACCAGATACGTTTATCCGGTGATTCATGTTTGTCACGTCACGTGAAATGTATTGGCACCTGAGCAAGGTATTTGAAAAATGTCTCAAGGAGAAGCTTTTTAAAATATCATTTCCTGCAAAAAAATGGATGTTGTGATGCGTAGGTCGCATTTCGTGAGATATGAATGAACGCTGAAAATGAGTTATTGTGGTATTGATTCACCGTTTCTAATAATTGGTGATCCAAGAGATGGCCAACCCAGAAAATCAAGGCGCGACCTGATGAAATCATATTCAAAAAATCGTTCTCAAGTACTCAGCATTTCAGCTGAAAATCATGAAAGAAGCGAAAATTAGTATGGGGGTTCCACAGAGGTCAATCCTTGGACCAATTTTATTCTTAGTGTACATACATGATCTATCTAAATGTATTAACTTCGTTGTTTGGGTACGCTGATGATATATCGTATAGTAGCTGAATGGTAAAAATGACAACTTATTTCTTCTCATGGTGACGTTGTGTGCGTTTACTACCGTAAACCTTATGATTATAAATTATTATTATTAATTTAATATGTTTCTTAATGCAAGGTTTCCATTTCCATATACTGTTTTCTACAGAACGAATAATTCAAGTTATTGGAAATATCCATAAGAAATATAATGTGTTGCAGAAACTCTTCTGTAATATATTCTACTGTTAAAATTCTTAAAATCAAGCTTCATAAAAAAAACAGATACCTATAGATTCAAGCGGCTGGATGTTAGACCACGAAAAGTGTTCATATGGCACAGCGTTGCCGTTTGGCCCGTCTAGGTCGGACAGAATTTCGTCAGAACAAGCAGAATTGCTACTTTAAAAAATTCCCAAAATCACAGTTAATTAATAGAAAGGGGTAGGTTCAAAGAGCGGGGGATCCTCAAAAAATCCCCAAATTTGGGGTAAAATCCCCCAACATGGCAATCCTGTCAAAGCACCACTGGTACTCCAGACGTCAAGTTTCGGGATCGTTTTTGCAACACAAACAGCTTTGTCGTAGTTTCTCCTGATATATCGATGCATTTGTAGTTCAGTTCACCACAGCACTTCTGAATTCCAAATTGGAAAAGCAAGTAATGGTGCCAACAATTCCAACAATTGTTTTTATTTCCTATTGAACATTCGTGACGCGCCATCGACGTATTTTCCTAAATCTATACGTCTATACTTTTTGAGAAAGGTCTGGCAAAGATAATACCCAGTAACATGCAAAACATTTACTTACACGAAAACAAGAATTCAAAAATATGCTTAGTCATACTTGATATAAACGTGTACATCAACGTGGGTGTGTCACACGGATCAATCATAGGAGCCCACATCGTACAGCAGCTCGTAAGGTAGTATGGGTCGATCTCTGCTGAGTAGTTGAGAAAACAAATAGAAACGTCTTCTTTGACAAGAAATACAGTGACGGAAATATAAAGAATAATGGGGTAGTTCTGTATTTCTGAGCTCGCTATCGTAAAATGTAACAATAACTCACGATGTGTTTATTTTATCGAGACAGGTGGAAATCAAAGGTAATTCTAAAATAAAACACTAAGCCGCATCAAAATTGAGATAAATGATTCTAATCAAAATTAAATAAAATATTGAATTAAATGTTCGAACAGACGTCCTTCTTATAGCAGTCTGTGCGAACATTTTCTGGTGCAACATACTGGCAACGCGGTAGATTGTACGACCTTCCGCGTCATCGCGTTGCTAGACAATCTGGTGATGATCTTCGCTCTTCAGCCGGCTTCTATCTCTTTCTAACATGTGACGATACACACTTCTCGCGCTTCTCTCTGGTACACATTGAGCTCAAACCGTCAGACAAATTTGGTTTTCCCTGTATATAATGATTGAAGGCAGTTCTAGATGGGAATATGAGTTCGCATTCATGTTTCCTGCCTTACGCAGTAAGCATCAAGTGAAAAAAAACTTGTCTCTCGTCACCAATTTGTTAATGTTGTTTTTTATCATAGATTTCTATATTATTACATCTTAGGCCCGTATCGTCAGTTGTCCCTAAAATTGTAGAGCGCGTTTTTCTCCTTCAAAAATTTCTAGATTGCACCTGTCCCGTGTCAGCGTCAGCGCTCTCCTATTGTGAAAATATGTTTTCTTTTTATATTGTAGGAAATTTCAGGCTGATAAAACATGATATAACTCAGAAGCAAGCACAATTTGATGCAAATAGATGTTTGTGACATAACCTCAAAATAGAGCGCTGACATGGAGAAGTAGAAAACTATGACAATCAAGGAGGCCATAAAGGCGCCCTACAATTGTAGGGAAGACTGACGATACGGGCCTAAGACATAACATACTGAAAAGTTAATGGCTTTCTTCATTTAATCTGTTCTGTTACAAAGTAACGTCAAAATACGTGGGATGACAATAGCCATTATTTTTTATGTTTATTTCTGCTATATTGTCCTACAATTTCATATAAGCAAGTCTCCAAACTATAAAAAATATATATTTAGATCATTTATCGGAAATACTATTTTACTATCGGCAATCAAACGTTCTTGGAATATTCAATGCCGTCAATAAAGTGATTTCTTTGAAACGTTGCTGGAATTTTTATTCCGCTCTCTAAAAATGTAATTAACTGTTTTATAACGAAATTATATTCTTGAGGGTATACGGAAGAGCCCCTCGCCGAGAGATACGAGAAATTTTACTGGCTAACTTGTTTATCTAACGAGTTGAAAAAACACTTTTTCGAGTGGTCGAAAAAAAGTTGTTGGGGACGAAAGTATCTTCAAAATAAGACCTTACACGGCCAATTGCCACATTTATTTTTTATTGGAGAATACATAACGGTAAATCTGAAGCCAAACGTTGAAGCCATCTTTTGACGTTTTAAAAGCTCCTGGTCATTTTCAGAAATTCTTTTGTAGGGGTTGAAAATCAGGGTCGGTTGTTGTATTATAGCATCGTGGCTGGCTCTTATTACTGATGTAGTCCAGCAGCGTTGCCAGAATGACTATGGAGTACTACTAATTGTATATGAGCCTGTTTGACTGACTTAATCCATTCAATTTTTTGTTATATATATTTGCAGCTAGCTCAAAGGGACTAACGGATCGAACATAATCCTTTATGAACTGATGACAACCTACTTAACGCCATTTTTTAGCTTAAAGTGCTTCTAGAAGTTTTTCAAACAAGCCTTATATCATATATTTATTATGTGTCAGATTCCCACTAATATTTGAGTTGCTTTAATCTGCGAAAGATATAACCAGTGAATGTACAGCGAAGTTGTATTGCCGGTAGTGGATATTTCGTTTATTTATTTAATGATTCGTATAAATATTTGCGTTACAGAACCGCAGCATTGCATAATTTATGTGTTATCCTTTGTAAAAGAGAAACAGTACAGATCATGTATCTGCAGCATGTAGATGCCGTTCTCGAAAAGTTTAGATCGGGAAGAAAAAACGAAGCCGCTTATGATGATCTATGATCAAACAGCTTGTTGCCGACACATCTGCCTATGATGAGGTAATAGAGATGGTAACCAAGTCCGCGTTTTTATTGTTGGTATTTCATACAACTCGAGTATTCCGCGTATTTTTCTGTCTATAGCATCAGAAGTGGGATAGAACTCACTCGTCTAGCGGTCTGCGTGAGTTTTCATTTCAAGCGATATTGTCTCGAAAAGTACCCCGAGGAAATGAAATTCGCATTTTCGGAGTGCCGTAGTGGTCTCAGTCGTTGAAAAAATAATTACTACGTGTGCCAAACTTCGTTTTTCTATGATTTACAAAAATCTGATAATTTTTGTGCGTGACGTTTTGTCCAGCAATATAAGCAATTTTCTTATATTGTTTTTCGCTGTCATATGGAAAAAAATATACGCTTGTGCCGTTTTTGAATTATAGTACATCTGAAATACCATTTGTAACAGACCTATATGAATATTGACATTTCCTTATCAAATGCTAATGGAATCTGTGTGTGAAAAATAAACGTTAATCTGTGTGAAGTAACTGCGCTAGCTTTGTATAATTGGCACTAAAAAGTATTTTCTCTGAACTTTTAATTTGACTCTCCATCTGCTCTAATAGGTAATATTATATTATCACCATTATGTTAATTCGCATTTTTTGTTAGAGGGTTAAATTGCGATGGAATATGATATCCGGCTTGTCAGTTGCCCCATCTATAGTCAAAATCTCAATATCATGAATTGTGCCGAAGTAATCAATGGACGTTCGTCGATGATAAAATCACGATGTCAGGAACATAATGACAACAAATTATTTTGCGAAGTTAGGTTATTCCACTGATTATTTTTATTTTCATTTTATTTCATGGTTTTGAGTGATACCTTAATAATACCTAATTTTAGTGGGAAGTTTTTGTTTTGAAAAAAACTGTTATGAGTAGGATACCTTAAGACAGGAACACCAAAGACCAAAGTATTATTCGGAAACAACCTAACCTGATCTAACATAACCTAACTATTCATCTTTCAAATATGATCGACCATGCAACATGAAAATATCGCCCATCTTTGTCGGATACATGCAAATTAGTAATACAGTTTGTTTAGACAATAAAATTCTGTTTGTCTCTGTCTAACACAACTGAAACGTCATTAAAAATATTCCTACAAATCGCTGTCTTTGCTACAGACTAAAATGATGACGTAATCGTCATCTTTCGTGATTTCTACTATATCAACTTAGAGTGACGAACTTCCAGAAGCTTCAGCGTCCTATAAATTGATCAATCTATTTTTTATCGTCTCGACATTTCACTCAAGCTTCGGCAACCTCGTTAATTATCCCACGTGGCTAGAAACAGGGAAGGTTCATTTCTCCATGAATATTGAAGTTTTTCCGATAAGGTTGGTTGTTTACACTTCTTTGTTATATAACACGCATATACTGACGTGTTCAAAATGAGTTCTCGTTTGTACGTATAGCTTATAAGATCCTTAGCATCAATATACTCCTACGAGGTCTGTAATGTAAGTAATGATACTGATTTTTTTTTAACTTTGATGTCGTTCATTTTTAGAATACAATCGAAAAAACTGTTTCACTTCAGTTCAAACTTGTACTGTCTCCTCTCTAAGCCCAACGAGTCCTATGTTGCCAGATAGAACGCTA